TATTTGTGGACTACTAAGTCTGAATTAGTCATTATTAAGCTATTATTAAGTGCTTATTACCAATGCTGTAATTCTAATATTAGCAGGCCATATATTAAGAGTTTTATCAAAATAAGTCGTTCATAGTTGTTTGTTAACTGAAAATAAATTATTTGTTGCTGATTAACATACACACTAATTAACTCAAATCAACATGTGGCTTTTAATGAAGTAATTCAAGGGGAATGAGTTATTCTGCATTAATAACCAAAAATATTATGTTCTGGTATTATGTAAATAAACACCAAACTCCACATGTTAATAGAGCTTAAACAACAATCAATTAACCACTTGTAAGCAAGAGTATGTTCCCCATTCTAAAGTCAGATTTTGTTCATACCTAATTACTAGTAGTTTAGTATTAATTAACCACTTAAAGGCAAGAATATGTTCCCCTTGAATCACTACTTTAAAAGCCACATATTGATTTGAGCTACTTAATGTCTGCGTTAATCAGCAACAAACCATTATGAATGGCTTATTTTGATAAAACTTTTAATTTATGGCCTGTTAATGTTAGATTTACGGCATTAGTAATAAGCTGTTAATAAGTGCTTAATAATGACTAGTTCAGACTTAGTAGTCCACTAATATTCATTGTCATGCTGACTTGGCAGAGGTCGCCCTGTCAACTGTCTCCTCCTCATGCTGACTCTTCTGCACAGCATCAACACGAGCTCTGCATGCAGTCTTCTCACTGGCCAGAGGGGGCTTGTGAACCCTGGCGTGTGTCCTCCTCCAGGTGAGCCAAATTAAGCACAACCAGTGGCTTCCTAATGCATGCAGCAGGCACTCAACCAGGGTGTGACAAACTGAGCTGGCAGAAGTAAGCAAACAATTCAACTGTGAGGAGAACTTTTGATCTTGACAGGCTATCGGTAAGCTTAATATTTAAATGGTAACCCAAGATTCTTTGTTTACATCCTGAAAGTAGTATATATGTCCGGTTAGAATGTAAATAAAATTCTTTGTAAAAATCCTTAGTTACAGCCTTGATTAAAATGTTTAAAACACACAGGTTAAAGACTGAAAAGGTAACTGTGAAAGTAAAGATTTATATGGTAGTAAAAGCCAGGTAATAAACCTTTGATGATCAATTTAAAGGCTAGAATTTGGTTTGTTTTGTTGTGAAATTGCCCACTTTATACTTTAACCACATGGTTAAAGTATAAAGTAAATGACAGATGTTGGCTTAAATGCTTTTTAATTTGTTATCTGTTGATTTAATTTGGTGTCTGTGTGATTGTTAAAACATTCTATTTTTGTATTTAAAGGTTTTCACCTGATATTGATGCTGACTTTTATGATGATCCTAAAACTGGTCAAATAAAGACATCTGAGCGAAGCCAAAAGTCTGGTCTTTTCAAGTGTAGACGCCTCACAGCAAAAGAAGCACTTGACATTCATATTAACTGGCAGCTAACTAATGGTTAATTTGTGTTCCCTAAACTAAAGTGTTACCCTAATTTTCTATAAATGTTATGTTTTATCCAGTCACAGCCCATCACAGCCCAGTGACATACGGTTTAGTGGATGATGCGTCTCTGTTGCTCTATTTTCTTTCCTTTTGTCCTCTTCTTGTCCGTCGTCCTCTCTTTAGGTGTTTTTCTTTTAGTGGAGCATATTTTGATAGCAGCTTTTATCACCTTCATCCAAAACGCTTCACTTCACTGCGAGTGCATGCACGCTGAGCCCAAGTGGCTCTTGTGGGATTTGATCCCGTCACCCTGACAGATAACAGCAGCACCCATTTAGCGTCTCTCGCTGCCACCGAGTGGGGCTAAAATCCCACCAGGGCCGCCCGCACGTGCACCTCTGAAAACGCTTGCTCTCCAGACACACTGGATGAAAGCTCTCTCTCCAAATTGCTGCTGTAGGTAATAAAAATCTTTCATAAAATGCTTCCACCCCTCTAAAATTGATATATAGAATGTTGGAAATGAGCGGCGCAGATATAGAGCTGCCTTCCTGTGACAGCCGACTGCGGTATTGTTGGTGGTGATAATATTTTCTGTGAGCTGCAGATTGCTTCTCCCTCAGCACTCCTGGAGGAGGTTAAGCCTCATAGCCTGCAGTCTGTGAACCAGAGAGTAGGAACTCCGGTGAGTGTGGAGGTGTGTGCATCACAGGGACGGGGAGGGGAGGGTGTGGTCGGGACAAAAACTCTACAGAAGAAAGACAAGTGACCATTTATTCATCCGCTTTGCTATAGAAACATAAATAACACGTGAATAAAAACGATTAAGAACAAGATTTTATGCATAAAAGTTAGCTTATGGATAACTTCTTTACATATTGTGAAACTTCCTAGGCGGCCGTTGTTCTGAGCGATAAAGTTTACGTACGGGACTGATGAGCTAACGGCTAGTCCGAGCACAGGAACTTTAAAGAACTTTAACTCATTCGCTGCCAGCGTTTCTCACAGTTTTTACAAGAGTGACAGAACGTTGCGCGCTAGGATGATGTCGACGTCAAAGCAACCAAAACAAAGCGGAGACTCACCTCTTACATCAGGAAGAATCTACGTGTTTCAGCGTTATCCGCTCTTTCATAATCCATTGTTGAATTGTGATCGGCGAATTCCGGTTCGCTCCTCACTTCTTTTTTTTTTACAGCAGCGGCCCAAAACGATCTCCTAACACATGGATTTTCTGCTTCCTGGTCACGTGACGTGTGACGTACGCGGATGAAGATCGGCTTTAGAGCTGAGATGTTTGTTCTCACAGTCCGGGGGCTCGTCCGACGCCCACACAGTAAAAAAAATGTAAATGACGACTTTAGTCATCAATGGCAGGGAACGAGTTAATCTCCTAAATTTCACAACAGTTTTTGTGACATTAACAACTTTAATTTCCCATTATGTGATTATTTACATAGACTTTCATAGCTTAACAAGGTGTAAATTATCTTTTGGCTCATTGATCTGACCCCAGCTGCTCTGAGTTAAACGGGTCTCAGGCTGTGTCTAAATCCAGGGTCCGCCTCCTTCTAAGACTGCATTTTAGGGCCGATTACGTTTGGTGAAACTGGTGAAATTCAAAGGAAATGACAGGTCTGGTGTGTTCTTCCTGGACCACCCTATCCCAGGATTCATTGCAGGCTGAGACTTTTGTTCCTGTAAACCTGGTGAATGAAGTGGATGAGTGTTACGGTTTTAAACATTAAGGCAGGGGTAGGGAACCCTGGTCCTGGAGAGCCACTATCCAGCACGTTTTAGAGGTCGCCCTGCTTCAACAAAGTTGAATCACCTGTTCAACTGCTCATCAGGCTCTGCAGAAGCCTTTTAATCACCTGCTGATTAAAATCAGGTGTTTTAAGTTAGGGCAACCTCTAAAATGTGCTGGATAGTGGCTCTCCAGGATCAGGGTTCCCTACCTGTGCATTAAGGTATAAATAACTGCCACTACAAAATTAAAAGCTTCATGCGTTGATATTAGACTTCATGTTTTTTTTTAAGTCTTTTGTCAAAAATAAGAAATATCGTAAACGAGCTCATGCCATGGGTCCCGCATTGCTGCCAAGGTTAGTTTTAACTTCTGTTTAGAGTCAATGGTTGCTAGGCAACAGGACAAACGCTGAGGTAAGGGCGGGAATAAATCTGAAGACTGGCACATCCTAATTCAAACACTCACTTCCTGTTGTGGACAAGGATGGACTTGTCCTACGTGGATTGGATGAGTCCTTCCAAGGATGCTTCTTTAATCTATTTAAGGAATGCTGTCTAGAAAGGGCGTTCCTGCTCCTAAAGTTCTCTAAAGCTGGTATTTTCTGACCTCATGAGAACTCTTACTGAGTTTAACTTCCTCTTAAGTTTTAAGTTATGAAAAACAAGGTTTATTTGAAGATTTTTGATTGGTAACAACTTCATTTCTCATTTATTTTCTTGCCCCTCACCTCCCAACCTCTCTCCTCCGTCTCTCCTGATCAGCTCCATGGAGTCGGGCTTATTTGTCTCTCTTACTGGCCTCCTGCCTCTCCTTTACAAACCCTCCGTCTTTAATCTCACCTCCACCTCTCCTGCCCTCTCCATCCATCCTTCCTCTCATCCTTCACTTTCCTCCTGATGCGGTCTTGCCTTCCATCTGCAGCAAACCCGGTCTGGTTTTTAAAGACTCTTGTTTTACTTCCTGTTTTATTTAGTAAAACTTATTTTCTGAGGCAGTTTGCTTTAAAATGTGATGTTTTTGTTTGTTTTATTGGTCTAATGGCTGTTTTCCTCAGACAATCATGCATGAGACTGGAGGAAAACGCAGCCAGAGGATCACTTTCTTCATACCTGGCGTTTGTTTGTCTAACGTACTTTTTCCAGACGTCTGAAGACGTTTCTCCTGAGCCCTAATGCACCGGATCATTTCTCTATATGCTGAATCACATTTATTCTAATATTTCCATCATCGTTCTCCTCTCCTGCTTTCTGCTCCTTCCTGCAAACTCCCCCATCTCTCCATCTTCACCCCTTCCAGCCGTCCTTTTACCTGCTCTGTTTTATTATTTTCCCTTTCTCATACATTATTATAATCACCCCCACCCCACCCGTTCATCCTATCCAGGGGGGATAATGAACAAAGGTTATTGAACAGCAGAAATGATGAAATAAAGTGGAGCAGAAACCAACCCAGAACAAAACACATTTTCTCATTTTCCTCCTGTAAAAGTTATGAATTTTTTATGTTTCAATCTCTCACTTTAATGAAATTGTTTCTTTCTTTTTTTTTTTTTGCTGCAACACATTATACATTTTCATAACAGGAATTTGGGCTGACATTTTCAATACGTTGTTTCATAGTGTGTGTGTGTGTGTGTGTGTGTGTGTGTGTGTGTGTGTGTGTGTGTGTGTGTGTGTGTGTGTGTGTGTGTGTGTGTGTGTTGGCCTTTACTTGTAAGCTTTCTTTAATTTGTGCATTTCTAGTTCAGGTTGTTTGGCTGCAAATTAGAATCACTTCTTTTTTCTTCTTCTGCAGCGTTTTAAACCGAACCCCGGTTCACCTGATCCACGAGATCATTCTGGTGGATGACTTCAGTAACGAAGGTGAGACGCGGCTGCGCACACACGCACACACACACACACACACACACACACAAACACACACACACACGTTTCTTCCAGGTCAAAGATAACAGAGATGAGACAGGTCGGAGGAGCAGACGTGTCCCCAGCAGCTGGCTCCCTGGTTTCAGGATTAACGTGTCTATGGACCAAAAAAGTTGATCCATTATGGGTCAGAGAGTTTAAAGCTTTCTGAGTTTTATGTTTTATCTGCAGCTGCGTTCTGCTCATCTGTAGAAAAACACTCAATCCTGGTGAAAGGTACCAGAAACTTAAAAAATAACAAACGTTGCACAAGGAAGTCATTAGAATCCAATAAATGCAATTGTTTTTCTTACCTTGGTGAATTTCTATTCACATATCAAGTCTAAACCAATCCTACCTATGTTTGATGCTTTTTGTCCGACATGATATGATGCAGCTACAGTAACTTAATGAATAAAAATGTTAAACCAACTCTTATTTTGGTCCTGTTTGTGTTGGTTTAGATTCTCAAACATCCAGGAAGCAGATTGTAAGTTTATTTTTTTATTTGTGGCTGCTTCTCTTTTTGTTTCAGTCTTTTTTTAAATTTTAAAACAAGGTTAGAAATGAAAAGTCTTGAAAGTAACACAGAGCAGTTTCCTGCTCCTCCACCCTACTGGTTCAAAGTGGAATTACAACTGTCGTAAACAACACTGCTGCAGCCTGCTGTAGCTAGCGAGCTAACACTAACATGAGCCGACTTATACTAAAATAAGCCACAAAGTAAAAAGATCCACACTGTTGGACAAAAATATTATTTCTTACAAGCCCAGTAGCAACAAAGCCAGGTCACCATCGGTCTGTGGTTGTGTAGCCTCCGTTAGCTCCCTCAAACTAGCGTAGGCCGCGCCGATGTTCACTCTGTTTTAGCTCTTTGCTTCACCTCCAAAGACATTTCTCTCTTACTTTTACTTCCAGGCTCCGCCATGATACTGACTGAAAATCACATTTCTTTTTTTTCTTGTGTTTTTTATTGACGATTGGTGAACAGAAAATGCTAACTATTAGCATTACAGCTAACCATATAGCAGGTCAATAGCGCCCTCTATGGAGCACTTAATCGCTCCACACAAATATAAAGTGCAGTTTTAGGTGTTGGATATGAAACTGGGCATTTCTAACTCAACAATCACTGAGATCAACGTTGAGCTCTAGCTTAACGTTTAACAAGCTATTTAGTGATACTTTAAAAACCTTTTTATGAGTTCCCATCATTAAGGTTCCTTCAGGGTTCATTTAGGAATTTAAATGTAGGTTGTAAAATCATTAATAGAACCACAATAATGCCAGGAATCTTTAATAAATCATCACAATAAATCTGAATTAGCTTTAATAATGCAGAGTTTGGAAACTTGATCATCTGCTGGTTTATAAAATCCAACTGGATCATTTACTACGTTGAGGGTTGGATTTGACACAGATGACAGCCAGAAAGTAACATATGAACACCACACATCCCAACAGGAAATTAAAAATCCAGCAACCCGCATGGCCCTGAGCAGCTGCTGGTTGGTTCCTATCAGCTGAGGATTTCACACCGTCATTTCTCACATCTCCCATCTCCGCCATCAGCGAGCTGACAGCGAGTCAGGATGGATGGAGCCAGGAGTGCAGCTCCAGAAGTGATGGAGGTTAAATAGTGCCACATTTTGACTGTGGAGGACAGATGAGTCAACATGAGGAGCGCAATCAGCTCTGGAGATGGATGTGTGCACGTAAACAACTAAAGCAGAAGGACGTTTGAGAGCCACGGCATCAGGAGGATTTCATGTGAACTTCAAACACTAAAGTTTCTGCTCTTCATTTCAGATCAGTAAATCCGGCTGATTTCTTTAGTGTTTTGGGGTTTTTTTTTTACAGTGGAAACAAGCATCTGAGTTCATGAGAGCATTATTCTGTAAGCTTTGTGTTTGATTTATCTCCAAACACACCACCAGCCTTCTGCGACGTGTGGGACCACGTTCTCATCAGATACAGGTTTTATCAGCTGGCATGGTCACACACCGCATTTACTCCCTTACCCCGGTTTCACACTGCAAGCATCAGCGGAACGGCAGCCGAGCGGCTCACTCGCGAACTTCAAAGTGGTCCTTTTCACACCGGAAGAGTCTTGGCCGCGGCACGGCTTCCTCGCTGTACTCGCGAGATTCTGAAATCCCTCGAGACCTTCCGACACCTTCCTCACGAGACAATAAATTCCCTCGAGATTTCCGCCATCCTTCCTCATCAAGAGATCACAACCCCCGCGACTTGCCATCCGAGAGGAAACAAAGAGGAGATCACGTTTTTTACAACTTGCTGAGAATCACACCGTTGCACTTCTCAAAAGAAACCGGTGGTAAACAAAGCTGTTCGGTCACACGTACTGATGTAAGTTATATATAACATCACAACGTTGAATTTTATTTTGAAAATAACCAGGGATTTTACACTGAAACCATGTGGTTTCCTGTCTCTCACTATGCGAACTGCGGAAATTGACATGTCCCAGAAGCGGCTCGTATGAAAAAATAGAGCTCGATCCTATCGTTAGCGGATCGGTATGCCGCTTCTGGGACGCACCTGGAAATTGCCACATCGCGGCTGGTTTGAAACACTCCATACACTCTAATTGGATTCTATTTGAAGCGGTGCCGCTTCGCTGCCGTTCCGTTCCGCTGATGCTTGCAGTGTGAAACCGGGGTTAAGTGTTACAGAAATGGAAGGCTGACATAAACAGCTGAAGTATTGGTTCATTAATAATGTTTCTGTCTAATCAAAACCATCAACACGTATAATAACTAATCAGAGGGACGAGGAAGACCAAGCCCTGAACCACCGCTAAGTGGTTGGTTGCAGTAATTGCTTTATAGGCCAGGTTTACTGACAAGTTTAGTGCATCAGGGTCTTTCCTTGAAACCGTAGAAATAACTGATGGAATTTCAGATTTACACTCTATCAAAGTGCACACACGCAAACACACACACACACACACACACACACACACACACACACACACGACACATATATGTCTTGTACCACATAATTTTTAATCTGAAGCTACATATTAAGCATATGCAGGGCAGAGTATTGTTCCTGTTAGTGTTTAGTGTGAGATGATAGTAAATATTCCCGTTCTTTCTCCAACAACTTTACCTGAAAGTAAGCTAACTTTAGGCAAACCAGCAGCACAACAAATATTTTCAAATAAGACTCACAAACCTGAGTCAACACCAGTCTCATCAAAGCTGGGGTTCTGTCGCGGTACTTTTTGTCTAAAAACGTCCTTATGTCCATCTTCACTCATGCGTTTCAGGCAGAGACTGCAGAAGAAGCCGGCTGCTGAAGGGCTTCTTCTTCAGTGGTGGAGGTTCAGGCAGGCTGTATACAAACTACTGCCAGCTGCGCCCTCTCTGTTGGACTTTGGTACTGCATGTTACTTCCACGTTTTAGATCTGGGGCTTTTCATAAAACATTCGGGGCTTGAGCCCAAGTAGCCGGGCCTAACCCCGCCCCTGGGTTCCCGTCAGGAAAAAATGAGAGAATTAAACTGATAAATCGTGGAGTAACAGGTTGTTCTGTTTGGAGGTAGTTTTATTTGAAAATGTTGTCTGACGCATTACATTACAGCCTCTTCTGAGCTGTCATGCAGTCTGGTTACCTTGGCAACACGGCGTGTTTGATCCAGAGGAGGTTCTGGAGGGTTCTTGTAGTTGTAAAATAAAAATGAACTGGAATCAGATCCGTGAGGTTAGTGTGTCGCACCACAAAGGGTCCCCAATCCCAGCACAGCAGAAGTGTGCACCCTGTTAAATCCTCCAATATCACAGATTAGTCAATTTAATGTCAGATTCCTGTCGGTCACAGGCATCTTTTATTGGTTTTAGCACCAATTATGTAAAAACTGACATAATTATTTAATGGGTAAAACAGGAACATGTGTGGATGACTGACTGTATTTCCCTCATTCTACCACTAGATGCTGCTCATGGTCAGAGGTGGTCTGATATTTAGGAACATTTCTACTCACAAGTACAAACTGGTAATTACCACAGAATGCGTAAAATCGTTCCTACGCACAGATCTGTTCGTAAGTATGGTTGATAAGTGAGGACCCTGTACCTTAACTCATTCGCTGCCAGCCGTTTCCTGATCGGTAAAGCCCTTCGCTGCCAGTGTTTCTCGCCGTTTTAACTGATTTTTTAAGAGTCACACAACATTGTGCGCTAGGATGACGTCGACACCAAAACAAAGCGGAGACTCACCTCTTACATAAGGAAGAATATGTGCGTTTCGAGCTTTAGCCGTTCTTTCATAAACCGTTGTTGAATTGTGATCGGCAGAAGCTTTTCCGGTTCGCGCCTCACTATTTTTTACAGCAGCGTCCCAAAACGATCTCCTAACACATGGATTTTCTGCTTCCTGGTCACGTGACGTGTGATGTACGCGGATGAAGATCGGCTTTAGAGCTGAGATGTTTGTTCTCATGGTGCGGGGGCTCGTCCGACGCCCACACAGTAAAAACATTTAGTCGTAATTGGCAGTGAATAAGTTAATCAGACCCCGCCTGTAGAGCTGGTAGTTGGTCTTAAAGTGACAATGTGTAGTTTTTATCATTAATCTCTGGAAATATTCATCAAAATGTTGTTGAAAATGAATGAAATGATGCCCAGTTGTTGAAATATATCGGTGCCTTCGTAACATATAACCATAAAAATCTGGCCTAAAATACATGGGAGCAGGTCTAAGTCTCTGGGCGACACCATATTGGATGCCATGTTTCCTTCTACAGTAGCCCATGAGGACAAAACGCATTTACTGATTTGCAACAAATGGTTACAAAACTTTCACCATTAATAAACATTGTTGTTTTACACATTTACCTCTTTAGTCATTGCCACTGATGAAAAAGAGTCTCATGTGCTTGCCATTTTGCTGAAGTTTGCATTGGCCTTTATGACCCTAATGGGCATCCATTGGTAAGGTCTTACTCCAACACAAAAATACAGCTAGCTTGCAGCGATTTATGGATCTACTGCCCCCTATCGCCAGGAAAAATACACACTGTGACTTTAATGAAAATCATAGCTTGTGCTTATATTTTATACACTTATTTATTTAAACCATTTTTTTATTTTGGACAATTTATACTTTGTTTATTTGTTTCCTGCTACCTAAAGGGTTAATATTCCATGCTAAGGCAATTATTTTCACATATAAACATCCTTTTGTTGCAGTAGCAGAAATAAATGATAAAGCATGAAAGTAGTTTATAAACCTGTTGAAACGGATAAATCCAGAGAATGTTTTAAGTGAACACATCTGTAATCCATCTATTATTTAACCACATCTATTTAGAATCTATTTCCACTCCTTTGAAAGTCTTCTATCCTGCAGATTCGGATGCTTTTCTTCTGCATTGCTATTTTCTAAACATCTTTTCCAGCAGGCAGTCAGATTTGAATCATTATATTAAAAGGACTCTTAAAATCCAGCGGGGAGCTCACCGCCCGCTCGTGTCACCAGTCAAACGTCTGATTCATCAAACTGAAAGCTCTGAATTGTTGTCCTGCTGCTGAAGAGCTTTTTTCACCAAACCACAAACATCCCCGCTGACTTTCTGGGAAATTATCAAGACACATATTTCACGGCGCACGCCGCACAATATTCGATATTTACATGCTTCTCATGGTGTTTCTTTCATTTCCTTTTCAGAGAGCGACTGTCAGCTTCTCACCAAGCTGCCCAAAGTGAAATGTCTCCGTAACAACAAGAGAGAAGGTACGGCAACATGCTAGTGAGCAGAGATGGTGCTTTACCTGCTGTAAATACACAGGTTAATTAGTGCACGCTGCCTTTTGAGATGTTGGTTTACTGTGTTTCTGCTTGTTTCTGTTATATGACTTCCTCCTGGCTATTATTATGGTTTCACACAGAAACAGCGGCTTTTAACACAAGGCTGAGCAGGAAAAATAAAACATACTATTTAAAATGACTGAAATCTTAACATTTAAGGGCAACCCTGTGACTTTTATTCTCATTATTTGGTTAAATTTACCAAAGAAGCAGCAGAACTCATGAATAAATATGGCAAAAAATGACAACCAGTGTTGATTTAATGCAGTCAGTAAATAAGGATGTGGCTCATCGTTGTAATATTTCACGTTTATTGGTTATACTTGTCGTTTTTTAAAATAAAATCCATTTAGAGCTGCTGTCATGCACTTAAACAAAGTGGAGCACAAATGAAGATGACGTTATTACAATTTTTTGGGTTCATGAGCTCTCTGACTTCTTTGAACAGTTAAAAATGTGAATTTAATACAACTGCTGATGAATTAAAAGGTTTGAAGCTACTGGGATTAACAGATGGGCTTAAAACGGATGTTTTCTGTTTTTAAGAACAACGGTGGAGGCAAAATTTTAATTATAAATGTATGATATGTGAACTTTTGGGAAAAATTAAGTAAATAAATATTTTTACTAGCATGTTGGTCACCTTAGCTTGAATAATAGTTTATGTCAAACACACAAAAATGTCTGAAGTCTATTTTCTTATGTAATTCAAACAATCCTTAAAATCAGTTATTTATTTTTTAAAGTTCTCTCAGAAACAACTTTTTGTTGAATTCATTTACATTTACAGTATCACCTTTTACCTGAACTGTCTTGATTTGGTTTTAGCTGAAAATGTCATTTGTGTTAGATGCCGTCAAAGACGGTGGTCGTCAAACCCCGGTTCTCACAGAAATAATAACTGTGTTCATTCACAGTGCTTACATAGAAAAATGACCGAATTCTCTATTTCAACTGTCTATGACTGACTCTTTACGGAAGTCTTGGTCACATGATGCTACAAATAAACCCACAAGCTAGCTAAATGAGCCTTATGAGGGACCATCTTGTTACAGGGCTCCTGTTGATTTGGTGTTATGTTGTTTTTTCAATCACTTTATATATGTTTTCATAGTAAAAAGTATGTTTAAACGTTACCTTAAGCCTCTTTTCCATCGCCAGGTCTGGAACGGTGGTTATTCTTAGACCGGTATGTTCCGGTATGGGTCTGGAATTTTCAGACGAGCGTTCCGATCGCAGTTTGGGCCATCACGTCGGCAGGCGGGGTTAAACAAACCATCATGCACGATTTTAAAAGTTGTGAAACTATTCATTATGTCTGTGTTGCAATAACTGGTCTATAGAGCTAAAGACAAAAACAAAATACTTACCACAGCCTCCAAATGTGACTCCAGAGTGCAGTCGCTACGTCCAGAAGCCTGCCTCAGCTCTAAATAGCATCCAACGCGTCGTAGCAACTCGTGTATTTCTCCCATCTGAAAAAAGAAATCCACTCTGGCTGTTTCTGTCCTTAACTATTAGCTATATTGGGCTTTAATTTCTTCATCTTGGCCCGACACTGAGCCGACGTCCGCTCTGATCCTTCGGCTGCCATCCGCTGAGAAAAAAAACTACAGATCCGTCTAGCTCCTCCTGTGGACTCATGTGATGAAGGTGAGAAATGTATGGAACTCTGAAGGTGAACACTTGCTGCTACTTGCTGCAATGTTTTCACTTTTATGTTCAGCTAACGAAAATACAAACAACGGAACTCCGTTAGTTCTCCTGTTTGGTTGACAGAAATACGTCACTTCTTGCAATCAGTGGACTGTGTTGTTGCTCCACCCTAACCGTACCGTATTGGGGAACAGAGAAGATGTTACTTGCGTTATGTGATTGGCGCAATGTTGCGAGGACACTGTAAATACACATTAAATCTATATTTTATACTTACCATATTTTCCGGACTATAAGTCCACTTTTTTTCATAGTCTGGCTGGTCCTGCAACTTCCAAATTATGTATACCCCTCTGCTGCGGACCGGCTCCAGACAGGGAATAAGCTCCTCTGCCCCACCATCACCTGCTGGAGACCGTGGCGTGCTGCTGCGGGCCGGGCGGCTCCGACGCAGGAATGAGCTCCCTTGTCCTGCTGGTTTCAAACACCGTGATCACCTGCTGCAGCCTGTGGCGGGGTGCTGCGGGCCGACTCCGGCCCAGGAATGAGCTCGCCCCGCCCGGTGGGAGGGTTTGAAACATTGCCATCCTCTGCTGGAGACCGTGGCGCGCTGCTGCGCCCTGATTGTTTATTCTGTTATTGTTACCGATACTTGTCTTGCAATGTGAAATGCTTGGTCTCAGATTTTGTAAGAAAAATAATAAAATTTCCCCCTAAAATGCGACTTATAGTCCAGTGCAACTTACATATGTTTTTTTTTCTTCTTCATTATACATTTTATGGCTGGTGCGACTTATACTCCGGAGCGACTTAGACTCCGGAAAATACGTTTTTTTGTATTAATTTCATTTTGATATATTTATCCGCCACACTCTAAAGGCCAGTCTGTGAAAATATGGTCTGGTACGAAACTTGTCCCTGGCGCAATGAAAGGTCGGAGACAGCTGATATAGTTTACCGTCAACTCGAAGCCTAAATGTTTTGGTTTTCAGAGCAGCTGGATCAAGGAAGTGAGAGGATAAAAGGACATTAGTTTGTTTAAAACTCAATCCACAGTGGTAACATGTGAAATGACAACGGGACAGGACCGAGGATGGAGCCTTGAGGAACTCCACTCATACTCAAAGCTGTGCCTGGAGAGTTTATTGTTGTTTATCTTGGTCGAGAAATTTCTGTTTACCAAATTTGACTCAAAACCTTATAACAGATTATTTGATCCTTGTTTACTGTTCAAGTCAGACTAACATTATGTTTTACTCCACTATGTAAAGAGCAGCACTTGGCTCTGAAAGCATGTTTCTGTTAAGAATAGTATTAGTCAAAAATCCCCATAGAGCCGTATGATTACTGTGCATTTGTGTAACACCAGCCTAACAGTGTAGCCCACGCTACATTTGTTTGTAAGCTTTTCTAACATATTTTTCCACCACTAACAGGTCAGAAAGCTTTATTTTTGGAGGGAAAACCAAAAGCAGAAAACACTTAAAAGCCACTTCTAACAGGCTTGTTGTAGCTCGGTGAGAGCGGTGCCATTTGAACTCAAGTGCTGCTCCGAAATAATAGTCTTCACTCCACTGAAGTGTTTCTTCTCCGTTCTCTTCTGAACCTCCCTCCTTGTCCTTTTGTTCTTTATTTTTCACATTTATATTCCATCGTTGTGTCCAGCTGTCTTTTGTCTCATCATGTTGCTGTTGAGTCTAGCTCTCCCACTCTGTAGCTCTGGTTTTACATGCTGAAGGTCTCCATTAAAGCACAGCAGACACAGACAAGCAGGGTTCATCAGTTTGCCTTGTTAATAGTTCATGGCTTGAGGCTCTCTGACTCAATGATTTTTTTAATGGTCATAAAAGCAAACCAGTCTGGTGTTTCATGTATTTGTGCTTGTGAAGATGCCCAGTGACCAGTTGCATCTCTTATCTTTTTGTCTTTACAAGAACCCGTCTAAAGGTGGTTTCATATTAGACGATCTAAAATTAACTAAGATGTATATCATGTAACGGGACATGTATACCTTTTTAAAACAATTCTAAAACACGTTCATGGAGTTATTTGTATAAAATCTATCACATAAAGCATTTTCAGCATCTTTATTCTTTACTGTTTCAGTACCTTCCAGAACGAGCCATTTCAGGGCTTTGTCACTTTAAAACGAGCTGTTGCTGGCCACGCCCACTCATCCCCTGGTTTGCTGCTGTGAGGTGAGGAGCTCAGATGTCTGGTAGGGGCTTGGAGTAGAGTCGCTGCTCCTCGGGCATCGACAGGTGGAAGCAGATGATTCCTGAAACCAACCAGCAGAAAATGAATGGATGTTTTTATTTAGGTTTGGAGTGTTTATAGAGGCAGTCGAGACACATGACAACACAAAAGGATGCAAAACATAAGATTAGTGGAAATTGTCCAATTTTATGCCCTTGAAGGGTCTTGGTGACATCTTTAGGAGTGTTTTTCAGTACCCAAAGACCCCTCACCTCTCATGATAACTTCAGAATGGTTGTGAGCAAAAACAAAGCTTCCTTGTTGGGGTGGCTAAAGCCTCTTTTATTAGACAGACCATTGCGTCATTACAGAGTGATAAATCCGAATTCGTGGGTCTCGTAAATGCGGTAAAGGGGAAAGGAGATAAAACTCAATTCTGATGTGCTTAGCCTCGTAGTAATATTGCCGCATGAGCCCCTCGCCTCTGACGGCTAAACCCGTGTCAGCCCCGCTAATCCCTTGGGAGCGACTGGGAGGCCCCCTCGAGAGAAGGTGGTCGCGTTAGTGACGTATACTGCGCGTCGAATGCCGGCTGGAAGGGATATAAACACAGATAAACATGGCCTCTCACTAGTATCTTTCAACCACCTACAACATGGCAAACTGGACGGACGCAGAGACCATGGAGCTTTTGGCCGTGCGAGCGGACGAACAGATTAGTTGCCTTTTTACGGGGACGGTGAGAGACAGCCAGCTGTTCGACAGAGTGGTGAAAACACTGGCTGAGTGGGGCGTCAAGCGGGACAAAAAGCAGGTCACATCAAAGCTAAAGGTCCTGAAAAATCAATTTAATCAGTTTGACGCTGAACGCACGACCCTGTACGTCACATGCGTGGGAGCCGCCCAGCAACCTCCCTTTTATCCCGTTTTGGTTTGAGAGGTGCTCTTTATTCTAGCTTCAGCCTTGCTACTATAAATGCCAAAATCCTCCCCAGGGAGCCGTGGCAAATCCCGTTTTGTAAACGCTATGGTCCTGTAAAAACAGCTTAAGAGAACTAGTCTGTAAGACTTCAACAGTTTAGATTAGTTTCCTTAGTTTAGCTCTGGGTTGGTGAGTGGTTGCTTGATTTGTTAATTGTTGGTTGGATGGTAACAAAGTTTGGTAGAAATCAGTGTAAGCCAGGCGTAATGTAATCTTATTCAGTTACGGTCTTTTTCTTCTTTTTTTTTTTTTTCATTTATAAAATCAAAATTTAATTTAATTACAGCCCGGTTCAGTGCAGAGATTCAATAAAACTACCAGTTTTTAGGGTTTTGGGACCGCATCTGATGTCGAGTTTACACTAGGCTGGGCGATAAATAAAAAATGTATCGTTATCAAAATTTCGGACTCTTATCAAGATAATTTTTCCCATGTTAATAAATTTGATAATAAAAAATTAAAATATGTGTAGGTTGGTAACGTTCATGTCCGTTTAAGAAGCGGTAGCACCTTGAGTCACGTAAACGTGTGACTCAATGTAAAACACGTGACAGCACCATCTAGTGGACAACTTTTGTTTCTGCGCATACCTGTAGTTATCGTCCATTTATTGTTATCGAGGTGAAATCCTCAATATATCGTGATTTTGACTTTAGACCATATCGCCCAGCACTAGTTTACACCCAAAAATATATACGCTGGTTTTTAATACATGAACAGAATCCTAATCCCAACCTTTCAGACAAGAATCCCTACCAAACTTTATCACCTGAACGTTTCTTAAAAGAAGACGTGAATGGCGGAACGCACACGCAGCCGGCAGAAGAGGCGACTGTTACGGGTTATTGACGAGGCTTGAAACTCTCCTCGTGTTTAATGTGCCTGTGCGTTTGTGAGTAAATGACCGCCCACTGCGGTCGCTTCACTCTTCCATCTGTGTTTGTGCCGGCCGGTGTGCGGCTCCAGTTTGTGTGTGGCTCCATCCATCCAGAAAATAAAGCCTTATTGAGGATGAAATGGGATTTTTAATTGGCTGAGCCTCGGCCCAGCGGCGCCACGTGGAACTTCGTGGCCTCTTGTACAATGTCACGGACACACACGTGCACAATGAACCCTCAGTAATGAGCACAGCCGCCGCCGCACAGCCGCACACAATCGCTGGAAGTGTCGCACGTTCACACGAGGTGGGTCTGCATGTCGGGGAGTATTGATTAGACCGTTCACACTGAGCAGAAGAGAACAGTGGCCCCCATCAGGGAGTCCTCCCTAACAGGCTGATTTACACACACACACACACACACACACACACACACACTTGCGTCTCCTCGTCCCTTTTCTGTCTGTCCATGGGACAGAACAGACAAACCTTTCCTGTTAGACGATGTCTGACATGCATATGCCGAGTGATGCGCCTGTTAAAATGTTGTCTCCATGTCTGACAGCGCCTCTAAGAGCCCGCCATCGATTTTCTTCTCCGCTGACTGACTCTGAGAACAAGGAGGCAGGCAGCAGAGAGAGAGAGAGAGCAAGAGATCGGATGTCAATAAATACACCCAGGCACTAATTCCACCGAGGCTGATGGTCCTATTCCCACTTCTGTGCAGACTTTACTCGTTTAAGCTTCTGCGGTTTTGAATTGAATGTTTGTTTGGAGGAGGATGCAGGAGGTCCCTGGTGGTCCAGGTGTGAGCGTGAATCCTGGCTTATCCACTCAGAAGAAGAGTCAATTTCTGCAGACAAAGTGGAAGATTTGAGTTTAGCAGAAAGTCTGATGTTCTGGAGATGAAAATCAAACCGAGTGGAATAAAAACATTTAGATTAGAGTAAAAATCAACCTCAGAGGGAAGCAGTGAACCAAACAAGGATAAAAACCACAAGTTAAATGAAGGTTTTGAACTTATTTTTCCAGTCTGGCTCCAACAAAGTTATTTAGATGTCAATAAAACAACCAAAGGGATGATGGGTAACAGACGTTTTCACTGAAGTTTATTAGCTTTCTTATAAAACCTGACTTTTTTGTTTCAATGTCCCTAAACCTCTTTCATTTCTAAAATGTGAATTTGTATAAAAATATTTGTTTCTTAATCATTTTCTCATTTATTGTGTTTATTGTGTTTATTCGCTTAGCAGACGCTTTTATCCAAAGCGACTTACAATTTATAACCTATAGGGCATGTTGTGATCTGTGGGGAAAACCGGAGTACTCGGAGGAAACCCACGCATGCATGGGGAGAACACGCAACTCCACGCAGAAAGGCCGCAGCCGAGTTTTGAACCTGTGACCTTCGTGCTGCGAGGCAACAGTGCTAACCACTGCGCCACCATGCAGCCCATTTATGAAGGTTGCAGGCTGGCATCTCTCTAAGTGACAGTCTGCTGAGAAACACCATATTAATTTTACTTTTTGTTATGTTTTGGGTTTAAATGATGCATTGAGCAGGAGCTTTTATTTTGAAACTCTTAGCTTTTCCAGTAACTAAGCACAATTCAGATTTTAGCAGAAAAAGTTTTATTTAAATTTTGACTCATTTTCAACCAAAACTGAAGCGTTACTCATACAGACCTGCAGCCTCGGTCCTAAAGTCTCCACCGAGTTTTCTCTGGTTTTTGTTATAAAATCTAAGGAACTCCTGCTTTAGCGGATAATTATCAGATTAAAATGGATAATTCTGGTTTTAGATTAAAACGATTTAATCATTAAATAATTTAGAAAGCTTTCTTTTTCCTGTTTGGGTGTCAGGTCTGATCCGGTCCCGGGTCCGGGGGGCGGATGCTTCCAGAGCCAAGGTCCTGACCTTCCTGGACAGCCACTGTGAGGTGAACAAGGACTGGCTGCCCCCCCTCCTCCAGAGGATAAAACAGGTAGATTTTAAACCCTGAAAGTTTTAATGATGTCAGATTCAGAGTCGCTCTGAAAACATGAATCTGTTCCCGGCATAAAAACAAAACTCATCCAGTTCGGAGGGAACCCGAACATCTGTTTGCCTCTCTTAATGAATCAGTGCTGCTCTGTGTCCTTTGTGTCTCCTCTTGTCTTCTTTCATCACCTCGTTCACTTTGTCCTCCTTCAGTTACCCTCTGTAACTTTTCTTTTATTTCTTCCTCTTTCCTGACTTTAACCAACTTTTCCCTCCTCTCTCACGCAGCTCCATCATCCCTCTTCGCGCCCTTCCACCCTCCCATCCTTCATTCCTCCTCTCACTGGTGTTGTTTCTACAACTCTTTGTCTCCTCTCATTTCACCATCTCTCCATTTCTTTTCTACTTGAGTTTGCCTCTTATTCCACAGATCCATCAAGCAACTCATCTTTTCTTTCTGTGGTGTTGAAGCCATTTGATCCGCAGGGCTCAGATCGATGAGTGAACCCACCAGAGGGTCTGATTTGCTCCAGCTGCAGAGCCAGCATCATCTATATTCATAGCTGCAGTGTGTGTGTGTGTGTGTGTGTGTGTGTGTGTGTTTTATGCTCAACAGTCATCAGTCACTGTCTGTCCACTCACTTTCTAATCATATATTTAGATTTAAATGTATGAGGTATCGATCCGGGTTAAAACACACGCAGCACAACTCCCTAAAATCTCGCCACCTGCTAAATAATGATCCGTCTTTTAGATGCAGAGAACCGATGTCCTGCCAGAATTTTATCTTTCCTTCATTTTGTTTACTTTTTAAAAGTTTTTCTTCCTCCAACTTTTTTTTCCTTTAGAGATAAAAAAGCTGGAAAAAAATCATTTTCTCTGATGTCAGAATCTAAAAGATAAATTAAAGTATTCCGATTATTTCTTTACTCATTAATTGTAATATTTTTATTTAGTTTTACAATTATGTCTTGAATAAACAAGATTAATATTTGGTTTGACTGAACATTAATATGATTTTTTTAACACTGGCTTTTCCTGGGGGGGCCAGCAATTTTCTAGGGGTGGCCATGGCCACCCCTTGGGGGCACCCTTGCCTGAGGAGCCCGTCATACTGTCAGGCTCCCCCGAGCTCCCGCTTAATTTGAACCCTGTTCGCAGTGTTCTCCCCACCCCTCCTAGGCTTTGCTCTTTGTGACTCAGAAACTTTTCTGAAAGTCACATAAAGGAGGATGATGATGCAGATCGTTCTGAGGTCGTTCTCAACTCGGCCACCAAATGTCCTCATTTCAAATTAGGTGGGACAAAGAGGAAAAAATGGCTAAAATTAAGGAAGTGCTCTGGAGTGATTTGAAAATAACAGTCATCCAATTACATCGGTAATGGGGAATGCTTCTCCCCGAGCGCTGCGCAGTGTCATTACCCTAACAGCTTTTACCGCGGCCACGGAGCTCGGAGACATGGCTGGAGCTGGCGTCCCCTTGCTCTGACCCTGCAGCTAATGGTCCAGAACCGCTCCACCTGTTCTGTAAAATCACCAGCCGAAGGCGCATCCAGCCGTTCCACCACACTAATAGAGACACATCATATGAATGAGCATGTGTGTAAATATGTTTGTGTATGAATGTATATGTGAGTTATCGGGCTTCGGGGATAATTAGCATTTATTGATGCTTAATTTAGATTAAAAACCAGGAAGCTTGCAGCTTGTTTATTGTGTAAACATGGAAGAAACTTTATAATAATGTCAAAATATCTCAGAAAAGTGCATAAAAATGACATTTTCAAAAGTTTTACGCTTTCCTAGAGTTATTTCTTTATTCCTCACAGATTACACTAAAACATTGATACTGTTGGTATAATTGCAGCTTTAAGAGTGTTTGGTAGACAGGGGCGCCTCCAGAAAATTTTGATGGGGGTGGCCAGATGGGGCCAAAGAAATTTTTGGAGTGACACACCAAATTGGTTCTTGGGGTAACTCTGGTTGAATTTAGTCTGTGGCGATGTGCTGCATTGCACCTTTATTTGTTTTTGTTAAAATAACTGGTATTCAAAACATTTAACTTAAATTTTACAAACACAAACAAACATTTTAGAAAAATACATTTGTTATTTAAAATGTTATGCCAAATTTTATTAAAAAAATGTTTTTGGTTAATTCACCTGTTGCTGTGTTAAAAAACTATGGAGATAAAAACTTTTTTTAAATGTTGAGCAGCAAAAACGTGTATTTTTTTAATTCCGATAATTTCTTTACTCCTTAATTGTAATATTTTTATTTTGTTTTACAATTATGTCTTGAATAAACAAGATCAATATAGGGTTTGACTGAACATTAATATGATTTGTTAACCCAGGCTTTTCCTGGGGGGGGGGGGGGGGGGCAGCAATTTTCTAGGGGTGCCCATGGCCACCCCTGGCCACCCCTTGGGGGCGCCCTTGTTGGTAGGGTGTGTTTTTTACATTTTTGTTGATAGCAGAAAGCAGAGCATCTTCTGGGTGTGTTTGCCAGCCATTGCCCAAACGCTGATGACATTTAGCAGCAAATAACCTGAATTTACTCCTTCCATGTTTATCTCAGTGAGTCTGTGATCATTTCATTCTGTTCCTTTTCCATCATTTTTTTTCGTCGTCTGAAATTATTGCCAGTAAAGTGAATAAAATGGGGCGGAATTGAAGCGAACAGAAATAGCGGTCACTCTCACCTCGGTGTGCATGATTGGTGCTGAATGACTGAATTCTTTTCAGCACAGAGCATCATAATGACCTTGGAGCATGCAGCCAGTTTCACACAAAAAAATGAGCACACACTGAAATGAAAATGTCATTTATTGGAACTAAATTACAGAACATTTTCTCCTTTTAGTCTCCTTCTGTGAGTCGTTCTATCCCTCTCTAGTTTTGTCTGTTTTCAAACTGATTTCTTAAACATTTTGCTCATGAATATTTGTTTTTTTATTTTACGTTTTTGTGTCCAGGACCCAACTCGCGTGGTCAGCCCCGTCATTGATATCATCAACATGGACTCTTTCGCCTACGTGGCAGCCTCTGCTGATCTCCGCGGAGGTACAGAAACACTTTCTTCCACCTCCAGTCGGAGAAATCAAAATGGCTTTGAGGTGCCTTCAGGGTACCTTTTGATGGCAAAGAACACCCCCCCCCCCCCCCCCCCCGAGGGTTTCTGAATTATGACGAGGCCCTTCGTGATGAGCTCTCCCAGCTCTGTTGCTCAAATGCCTTTGAAATATTTTCTCATGCTTTCTGACACTCTGGATGTTCTCACTGCCTCTTTCTGGAGCCCAACGGGACTTGGGATGCTTTGTTTCCTTGGATATGAGGTTAAATCAGAAATGTGCAGCACCATTTGAAGGTTTAACACACCAGCTCGTGCACAGCATCGTTCTTAGTGCGACTGTTATCTTTAATAATTTCAAACATATAGGAATGATAAAATACAGTAGATGTAGGCATGTAAACAAATGTTTTGATGAATTTTTTGTTTTGATTTGATGGCAGCTTTTATATTTCCTGTTTTGTGAATTTTTTTCAATTTTTGCTTTAACTTTTACCCTAATAAGTTATGATACAAAATGATGTCCTGTAATAAAAGAAGCAGTGGTATGGCATGATATGTATGGTACATTACAACAAGGTATCATACGATGTAAGATAATGTAAAGTACGATTCATTGAGTTATGATATAATAACATGATGAGGTACGATGTGTTTAGGTACGATGTAACAGGCTATGATACAATAAGGTACGATGTGACAGGCTACAATTAAATAAGAATAATCACAAGGAGCAACTACAGAGATCCGCCCAATCCATTATTTATTAAATTAAAAACACTAAAATTCTATGATCTGGTGGACTACAATATTTTAAAATTTATGTATAATGCAAACAAAAGGAACGTACCTGCAGGATTAATTAAACGATTTTCAAAAAGACATAGCAAATATGATTTAAAGGGACATGAATTATTTAACATACCTAGACATCGGATACTCGTAAAGGAACATTGTGTCTCCATATATGGAGTTAAATTGTGGAATAAATTGAATACTGAACTCAAGAATGCAAAAACAATATTGACTTTCAAAAAAGAGATAAAAAATAAAACGATTAACTTATATAGATCCGTTACATAAATGTGTGAGGGGAGGGGGGTGGGGGGGATTAAAGGAACAAAATATTAACCTAGTATGTGCTTGTGTATATATGTATGTATATAGATCTGTAACTTAATGCTTCTTTCTGTGTAAACTGTTTTCTTTTTCTATTTTTTTCTCAAATTCATGGGTTGAGATTTTGTCGGCCAACAGGTCCAGGAACTATATTGTTCAATTTCCTTAAGAATCATATGATTATTTCATTTGTATTAATGCTATTTTAGTTAAAAGGGGCAGACAACATAAGTTTTTCTTCTTTCTGTCCCCTTTTTCATTTTGGCTTGCAGCAATTTAGTTCTGATGGTATTTTTATTTTAATGTCAATAAATGAAAATAAAAGATTTAAATAAATAAATAAATAAATAAGGTACTATGCGATAGGCTATGATACAATAATGTACGATGTAACAGGCTATGATACAATAAGGTACAATGTGACAGGCTACGTTACAATAAGGTACAATGTGACAGGCTACGTTACAATAAGGTACAATGTGTTAAGGTACGATGTAACAGGCTATGATACAATAAGGTACAATGTGACAGGCTACGTTACAATAAGGTACAATGTGTTAAGGTACGATGTAACAGGCTATGATACAATAAGGTACGATGTGACAGGCTACAATTAAATAAGGTACTATGTGACAGGCTACAATTAAATAAGGTACTATGCGATAGGCTATGATACAATAAGGTACTATGTGACAGGCTACGTTACAATAAGGTACTATGTGACAGGCTACGTTACAATAAGGTACGATGTGACAGGCTACGATACAATAAGGTACGATGTGACAGGCTACGATACAATAAGGTACAGTGTGACAGGCTACAATTAAATAAGGTACTATGCGATAGGCTATGATACAATAAGGTACGATGTGACAGGCTACGTTACAATAAGGTACTATGTGACAGGCTACGTTACAATAAGGTACGATGTGACAGGCTACGTTACAATAAGGTACGATGTGACAGGCTATGATACAATAAGGTACAATGTGACAGGCTACAATTAAATAAGGTACTATGCGATAGGCTATGATACAATAAGGTACTATGTGACAGGCTACGTTACAATAAGGTACTATGTGACAGGCTACGTTACAATAAGGTACGATGTGACAGGCTACGATACAATAAGGTACGATGTGACAGGCTACGATACAATAAGGTACAATGTGACAGGCTACAATTAAATAAGGTACTATGCGATAGGCTATGATACAATAAGGTACTATGTGACAGGCTACGTTACAATAAGGTACTATGTGACAGGCTACGTTACAATAAGGTACGATGTGACAGGCTACGTTACAATAAGGTACGATGTGACAGGCTATGATACAATAAGGTACAATGTGACAGGCTACAATTAAATAAGGTACTATGCGATAGGCTATGATACAATAAGGTACTATGCGACAGGCTACGTTACAATAAGGTACTATGTGACAGGCTACGTTACAATAAGGTACGATGTGACAGGCTACGTTACAATAAGGTACGATGTGACAGGCTATGATACAATAAGGTACAATGTGACAGGCTGCAATACAATAAGGTACGATGTGACAGGCTACAATTAAATAAGGTACTATGCGATAGGCTATGATACAATAAGGTACTATGTGACAGGCTACGTTACAATAAGGTACTATGTGACAGGCTACGTTACAATAAGGTACGATGTGACAGGCTATGATACAATAAGGTACAATGTGACAGGCTGCAATACAATAAGGTACAATGTGACAGGCTGCAATACAATAAGGTACGATGTGACAGGCTACGATACAATAAGGTACGATGTGACAGGCTACGATACAATAAGGTACAATGTGACAGGCTACAATTAAATAAGGTACTATGCGATAGGCTATGATACAATAAGGTACTATGTGACAGGCTACGTTACAATAAGGTACTATGTGACAGGCTACGTTACAATAAGGTACGATGTGACAGGCTACGTTACAATAAGGTACGATGTGACAGGCTATGATACAATAAGGTACAATGTGACAGGCTACAATTAAATAAGGTACTATGCGATAGGCTATGATACAATAAGGTACTATGTGACAGGCTACGTTACAATAAGGTACTATGTGACAGGCTACGTTACAATAAGGTACGATGTGACAGGCTACGATACAATAAGGTACGATGTGACAGGCTACGATACAATAAGGTACAATGTGACAGGCTACAATTAAATAAGGTACTATGCGATAGGCTATGATACAATAAGGTACTATGTGACAGGCTACGTTACAATAAGGTACTATGTGACAGGCTACGTTACAATAAAGTACGATGTGACAGGCTACGTTACAATAAGGTACGATGTGACAGGCTATGATACAATAAGGTACAATGTGACAGGCTACAATTAAATAAGGTACTATGCGATAGGCTATGATACAATAAGGTACTATGCGACAGGCTACGTTACAATAAGGTACTATGTGACAGGCTACGTTACAATAAGGTACGATGTGACAGGCTACGTTACAATAAGGTACGATGTGACAGGCTATGATACAATAAGGTACAATGTGACAGGCTGCAATACAATAAGGTACGATGTGACAGGCTACAATTAAATAAGGTACTATGCGATAGGCTATGATACAATAAGGTACTATGTGACAGGCTACGTTACAATAAGGTACGATGTGACAGGCTACGTTACAATAAGGTACGATGTGACAGGCTACAATTAAATAAGGTACTATGCGATAGGCTATGATACAATAAGGTACTATGTGACAGGCTACGTTACAATAAGGTACTATGCGACAGGCTACGTTACAATAAGGTACTATGTGACAGGCTACGTTACAATAAGGTACGATGTGACAGGCTACGTTACAATAAGGTACGATGTGACAGGCTATGATACAATAAGGTACAATGTGACAGGCTGCAATACAATAAGGTACGATGTGACAGGCTACAATTAAATAAGGTACTATGCGGTAGGCTATGATACAATAAGGTACTATGTGACAGGCTACGTTACAATAAGGTACGATGTGACAGGCTACGTTACAATAAGGTACGATGTGACAGGCTACAATTAAATAAGGTACTATGCGATAGGCTATGATACAATAAGGTACTATGTGACAGGCTACGTTACAATAAGGTACGATGTGACAGGCTACGTTACAATAAGGTACTATGTGACAGGCTACGTTACAATAAGGTACGATGTGACAGGCTACGTTACAATAAGGTACGATGTGACAGGCTATGATACAATAAGGTACGATGTGACAGGCTAAGATTTGATGTACAGGCTTGTTGTCACGGTGTGACACTTGTCTTGCGATTGAAGAACTCTAAGAACAGACTTGTGCGGATGCTGGTTGATCCCCATTTTAGTGCAGCTCGTCACCAGTCATCCATGTGGATACACTGGTATGCATGTCTTTTATAATCTTTTGTATCATTTTTATGTATCTTTTTTATTGTGGACCTTGAGTCCGATAATATAGTTGAATTGAATTCCATACAATAAGGTACGATGTGGGTGCCCTCCTGAAACAGGAGCACCGGAGCTTTTGTTCCTAGAGACCACAAGTGTTCAGCGCCTTTACGTCGTTTTCTTATACGTGCATCCTTTAGCTGTAGTTTTTGTCTCGTATCTCTGATTTTAAATACATAAATCTGAGCTAATTTAGAAAAAAAACACAGTTTGATTACTTAAAAAGATTAGTTAATTCAGATCAGACCGTACGAGACCCAACATTTAAACGTTTATAGGTTTTAGAGAAAATCATGGTTATTTATGATCTTTTCGTCACAGCAAATATGATCTATAATAATTTGCACATCCATTATACAACTGTTGCATACCATGTATCTGATGAAAACAAAATGGAACATTTTCAGCGAAATCAGGATATTTATTGTTTAGAGTTTTGATGAGTTTATCCTGAGCTTTTGAAATCTAAAGTGATGCTCTGTTAAATCTATAGTGATGCTCTGTTATGTTTCTTCTGTCCAGGGTTTGATTGGAGTCTTCATTTTAAGTGGGAGCAGTTGTCCCCTGACCAGAAGGCCCGCCGGCTCGACCCGACTCAGCCAATCAAGTAATACGCTTTCAAAACCTTCCAACTTTATGCAACATCTGTTAAAACAAGTTGCAGTGAACTGGTTTATGCCTGTGAGCTTTGAGGTAGTTGTGGATCCAACTTTTTCTGCAGATTCGATTTTTAGTTCAGCACCAACTTTCTCCATCAAGAACATTAACTCATTCACAGAATTCAAAAAACAACTCAAAACTCACCTCTTCATAACCACATATCAGCTTTGAATTTTAGAGTGCCTTGTTTGTTCATGTTTACATATGTTTACTTACTGAATGATTTGTGTTTTTATTCTGTACAGTGTCCTTGAGTGACCAGAAAGGCGCTTTTAAATAAAATGTATTATTATTATTATTATTATTATTATTTCGTGTTGCTCAAACTACTCTTGAGAAATGCAACAGTAGCCCTTGCTGGCTAACTAGTTCCCATAATTCAATTCAAGTTTATTTATAAAGCGCCAAATCACGACAAGAGTCGTCTCAAGGCACTTTACATAATAAACATTCCAATACAGGTCAGGTCATTAAGCCAATCAGAAAAAAGTTTCCTATTTAAGGAGCCCAGCAGGTTGCATCGAGTCACTGACTATTGTCAGAGTCTTACAGCAATCCTCATACTAAGCAAGCATGCAGCGACTGTGGAGAGGAAAAAACAGGAAGAAACCTCCAGAGGATCCTGGCTCTGTATAAGCAGCCATCCTCCACGACTCACTGGGGATGGAGAAGACAGAGCACACACACACATACACAAACACACACATACACAAACACACACACACACACATGCACGCACACACACACACATGCACATACATGCACATACACACACACACGCATGAACACAACACGCACGTACACACGCACGTGCACACATGCACACGCATGCACACACACACAAACACACACACGCACGTACACACGCACACAGACACGCACTCACACACGCGCGCACACAAGTGCACAGACACACACACACACACACACACAAAATGCACCCTGGTACATGGATCGGATCATTTACAGATCTGGATTACTTCCAGCAAGCTCGTTTTATAGTGATGCTTGTACCCAGGCCCCGCCCCTTTTCTATTTCCAGCTCATGAATGTCCAACGTGTCCTACCCAGTGCCAGATCCTGCTGAAACCATCACCATTACCGTTTTAGTTATGGTGGCTCCAGAGGAAATGAGAATCAGAGAAGCTAAAATAAAACTGAACGTGTCGGCGGGGAAGAGTAAAAGCAGCAGGTGTCTTTTCATTTTTAACTGCTCTTGTTAAATAAACTGGAAGAAAAACAGCTACTCTTTAATAATCTCACACTCAAGTCCGGTTTTTCTCGTTTTACTGAAGAAAGGAGGAAATTTTACACTAAATAAATAAATAAATCTGAATGTGTTTGTTGTGGGCGTTTAACCCCAGTCTGCTGTTCCCAGTCCCAAACTTCAGCTGAAAGTTTTAATTAGTTCTAAATGTAAACTGTGTGTGTGTGTGTGTGTGTGTGTGTGTGTGTGTGTGTGTGTGTGTGTGTGTGTGTGTGTGTGTGTGTGTGTGTGTGTGTGTGTGTGTGTGTGTGTGTGTGTGTGTGTGAAGACACACGTTGCTCTCAGTTGTCTCTGGAGTGAATAAACAAATATTCTTTATACAAGATGAAGAAAAGAAGTTCTGGTTAGAAAATAAAATTTAAATTGAACCTAACTTGTGAAACTAATCAATCATTGTGAATTTTAAAGTTTTTATTCTTATTTATGCTCCCAAACAGACGCTTTATTCTGTTTAAATGAATGTTTTTACCATGATCATGTATTTTATCCTCCAGGAGGTTTTTCTCTAATGCTATGATAAAAAGGACTCTTATTTTGAAATGCCTAAAATCTAACAAAAGCACCCAGAAAATGTGATTTCCTTCGGCAGAGTTTGTTAATTGGACTGCCGAGGGGTCTGACTGCTGTTCAGATGACAAATGATGCCCGTCCTTTCTTCAGCAATCAGAACCCAAACCCAGCACCGCCCCGTTTTGACCCATTATCACCGCAGTGACCTCTGCAGGGTGGAGGAAAACTTAATCTGCTGAAAAATTGCATGAGTCAAGTCAGTAATGGGAAAGACACACACACACACACACACACACACACACAGTTATGAGCTGAAAAAAGTGCTCAAATTTATAATAAATTAAATAAACTTCAGCGCTTTTCCCCTTTTCATCAGTCAGCTTGGTGACTGGAGTCCAGACTCACTGCTGGGCCAACTTTTGCTGCTGACTCTTTCCCTTTGTGCATGATTCATTTTTCATTTGGGAGACAGATCTTTCCCATGCACTGGTGCGTGTGTGTGTGTGTGTGTGCGCGTGTGTGTGTGTGTGTATCGGACAGCGGTACTTTGCTGGAGTGTAACTTGTTTATTGTGACAGTTTGTCTCCACCTGGGTGTTGAATTGATGCTTCAGTTTGCATCTCGTCAGCCTGCAGGCCGACCTGAGTCATCGGGTCCATCTGGGAACACACACACACACACACACACACTTGTAAAGACTGTGATGTGTACATGAGGCCTCTAACCGTATCTGACACAAGGAAGGGCCGTCATGTTGTTTTTATCTTGTCCAGGTCGGACTGCTGCTCTTTGATTCTGGCATTAAAGACCCTAAAGAAGGTGTTGTTGTGTTAAAGTTAAACCATGTGTTACTTGATGTAGAGAGCTTCCCATTTATGTGCTCGGCTTCTGACCAAGTCTTCCAAACACACCCACATCACCCCGCTTCTCCTCCAGCTTCACTGGCTACCAGTCACCTTCAGGGTTCATCTCAAGATCCTGGTTCTGGGGTCTCATATATCAAACATTGCGAAGAATCCGTACTAAAACCGTACTTAAGCTCAGCAAAAAAAAAAGTACTTACGCCAAACAGGTTTTGTGATCTATCAAACATGGAGAGCTGCACGCAATCTCAGCTTCATAAATCAGAGGCTAACGAGAAAGGTTCTCAGCTGCTTTTTAGTCACATCCCGCCCTCACCACGCCCACTTACTGCCATAAATAGTCAATGCTAAGTGCCTTTTGGATCTCATGTATATACATAAGCCGGCTGTTGCAGCACTCCACCAATGACATGGCGACCGTAGATCAAGGCAGATCAAGGAAGCGCAATTTCACAGAAGCAGAAATTCAGGTACTTGTGGGTGAGGTGGAGAAATGAAAGGAAGTGCTTTTGCAAAACAAGAGAAAATCCACGGAGTGGCACAGCGTTGCTGAAGCCGTCAATGTTGTGAATTCTTCAAAAAGATCTGTGGCGGATATAAAAAAATGGTCCAATCTGGATTTGATCCCCAGACTCCCGGGTGAAAGTCACGCGCACTAACCAGTCAGCCAAATGGAGATCTCCCCTGTCCAAGTAGCCAGGGCGCATGATCAATCATGTCACAGTGACAGGACACACACTGTCACAGACGCATGACATTCTGTCTCAATCTGCCCCCCTGCTGATATTCTGCATTTCGTATTCTGCGCTTCAGGTGTGTGTGCGCGCGCATTTGTGTGTGTGAGTGTGCGCGCATGTGTGTGTACGCGCACATGTGTGTGCGTGTGGGGGCTTGTTCTGTGTGAAGTTGAAGCAGTACAAGTGATAATGCTGCAGGATTTCATAATTGTATCCTTCTCAGCAGCAGCACTGCAGGTGCTCTCCATGTCCAAAATATGCGTAAGGAAGGTCCTTAGTCAACTTAAAGTCACGCACATTTTTCAGATAAGTTTTCTTTCATAAATCACAAAGTTTGCGTGGAAAGTTGCTTACACATCTGTTCATTGTAAAACGACGTGTTTAGCTTTCTGTTGGCTAGAGGAGCGCGTTCATCAACAAGAGGTGTTCCTTTTGGCCGTAAATACAGAACATAAACTAACGTCTTGTGTTATATGCCTGTCAGCCACTAGATGGTGCCATCAGTTAAAAGAAACAATCCAGACATTTCCTTTAATCTCACACACTTTTATTTTGAACATGAAAGCTCATGAGCACGTATTTAAAGTGTTTACAGCATTTCTGATGGCTGCAGCACATGGGTGTTGGCTGCACTTAAACTAGCAGTTAGCCTATCAGTCCTGAAGGACTCAAACCCTATTTCTCCAGACAGAGGCTGTTTAGGAACCTTCAGGTAGGATCGCCATTATCAATCAATCAATCAATCAACTTTATTTATATAGCATTAAATCCTTCAGGACATGCAACTCAAATTGCTTAACATATTAAAAAGGCCCCGCATACCCACATTCCCTCCCACCCCCAGAATTTTAAAAACAGTCTGACAATAACCCCTTCACAACACTCGTCCTCCAGCGCACACGCACACACACAGACCCCCCCCCCCCCCCCCCCCCCCCCGGAAAAAACACGATGGAATGAGATCAGATGTGCCAGACCAGCTAAGATAAGGATAAGGAAACACCATCAGGGGAGCCATCCGCCCCAGCAGCAGCAGATCCACAGTAGCAGCCGAGGCACCGACACAGGGCACCCAGGGCAGGGAGGGCGGAGACCCCCACCTCCACCTAGGCACACCCGGAAAGCACCCAGGCCGCCACAGCCGACTGCCGCCCCCGGGGCAGAGGGCTCCCACAGAGGAAACACTGGAAAAAGGTTAAATTAAGGTTAAAATATAAAATCATAAGAGCTAAAATGAGAATTGTAATATAAAAAGTTATATAGATATTAAAATGTCGATCATAAATCTATGGTAAAAAAACTGTTTAAAAATAGCACGTATAAAGAAAGAATACATAAATAAATAGCCTAATTAATTAAATTATTTATTTAAAAAGTGATAGTAATCAGTTATGACTAAGTCACTGATTGCTTTTCTTAACTTTATTTATTGATCAAAATAAGTTGTAAAACATTAATTGAACAAAATGTTTTTCGTTCCTGCTGAACTCGCCTGGTTTGTTTTCCTCCCAGCGACCCTGAAGCACCTTAACGTCACATCCCAACTGCTCTGCAGTGGTACGCTGTCTGATCAGCCTTGGAACTCAACATAATTACATCAGTCCTCATGAAGCCTGAACACACGCACACAAATATGTACTAACCTTGTGTTATCTATTTGCCAAGTTATCTCCTGCTATTTAATCTTCTACCTGCAAATTCATGCATTCACACAAAGTCACGTTCCTCCGAGCACACAAGGACAAAACGAGCTTGTAAAAGGCTTTGATGTTATTCTGCCCACACACACACACACACACACACACACACGCGCGCTCTGCCTGCTTTCACAGGCAGGATAATTGGTAATAAACAGAGTGTATTTGATGACGTGTTTTGGCCTTCAGCTATTCACTCTGTCCAGATTGTGATTCAGGCTGTTTTTGTGGGATTGTTTGTGTTTTTAAACTATAAACAAACGAGTTCATTTCCATTCTGGAAACCACAAAGAGGAGCTTCTCTCTGGTGGAAAATGGGAACTGGATTCATGTTTGAATCACAAACATGGTGAGTTTTAGTGTTCGTGGTGGGGGGGCAGACTGGGCCGGTGAAAACGTTGGGGTGTCCCACGGAATTGGTTCCTGTGGTAAGCCTGGAGCCGTGCAGTGCACCTGTCCCTGTAACAATAGGCCTGTGAATCCCATATATTTACCTCCAACATTTCAGAAAAAAAACAAATTTTCAAACAATAATTTCATTTATTGTTTCAAGTTTTGTTATTTTAGTGTTTTGTAACAGTTTAATGTGCCTGTTGCTGGCAAATCTGTGTGATTCGTTTATTAAAATGTTTTATCCTTTATTTCTTGATTAAAGATGATTGTATGGTTTGTGTGAATGTGATTTATTGAGAGGGTGATCTTTCTGGGGGGGGGGGGCATTGGCCCCCTCAGCCACCCCTTCAGGGGTGCCACTGGTGAGTTTAGATGGAAGTTTGTTTCTCATCGGCCTGAGATCTACATCAGTCAGTAAGTCCGTTATTATTTCCCTTCTCTTGCTCCGACAGGACCCCCATCATCGCAGGTGGGCTCTTTGTGATCGACAGGTCGTGGTTCAATCACCTCGGTAAATACGACACGGCCATGGACATCTGGGGCGGGGAGAACTTTGGTGAGATGACATGCCCTTATTTTCCTTTTATCTTTTATGTCTCGTGTTGTTTTCAAATGAAATTTGTTTATGATGACATCACATCCCGAGCAGGTCTGATGCCAGCCTCGGTGAGACTTGATGCAACAGTAACGCCGGTTAAAACCGACTCATCCTGTCAGATTAACAATCTCATCATCGTCCTAATGAGGTTCATGTTTGCATCAGGAGAACAGAGAAGAAGACAGAACAGGAAGTATCAGATGATAATGAGAGTTTGATAAATTTAGGGACTCCAGTTTGGGCTTCAGCACCCTCTAGTGTCATAAAACGAACCGCCTCCCCCTCGCTGTGCGTCTGTGTTTCCAAACCAGCTGACCTCATAGTAGAGTGATACTTACAAACACAGCAGCATGATCGCGAGGTCTGCATCCATTTTGAATCCTTTGATCTGAGCTTTCGCTTCCTGAAGTGAACTCGCTTGACTCGTTTTGGCCGGAAGTTTTTTTTTCTGCTTCACCAGATAAACGTTTTCTCCGCCGTTATGAACGAGGCACAATAAACGCTAACTGTCTACAGCGCGGATGTTCTGAACACACCTGTCTGGTTCAGGATTATAGGTGACTTTCCCGCCCCCACAGTAGACTCTCTGGCTCTGAGGTGTAAACATGGGTTTCCTGTCATGCGTGACTCCGAGAGACTTGGGTTCACCGATTCAGGCAGACTCAAGTCTGTGAGGAGTCATTGTAGCTCTGACTGGATCAAGAAAAGGATTTAAAAATACGATCGAGTTACTTAGTGCACCTTTAAATCACAAAGATGAATTAAAACCACAATTTCCTTTGCGTGAGAGACAATGTCAATAAATGGGAAAATAATTACTATTGTTGTTGTTTTTATTATTACTTTCACTTCCAGCTTCTCCTTGTGTTCTAAGCTGTTCACGAGCCCATATAGTCAGGACAGGTGATGTGTTTTTAAGCAGGACAGTAGATGAGAGAGAGACGAGTCATTAGGTGCTCGGCTGCCTCTGAAGGTCCTTCAGGATCAGATGGATGAAGGTGAACTTCTCCCTCAGCTGATAAAAGTCAGGAAATTGACGTTCAGCCAGCAGCAACATCTGGCTCTCCTGCTGTGTGTGTGTGTGTGTGTGTGTGTGTGTGTGTGTGTGTGTGTGTGTTGCTGACTGCTGTGCTGCTGCTTCTCTCAGATCAGTGAAACACTATAGGCTGCACACTCTCTTTCTCTCTCTCGCTCTCTCTCGCACACACACACACACACACACACACTTGCTTTCTGTCAGTCTCTGAGGCTCCATGTTGGTATCTCCCTATCTTGCTGACTCCTCTTGTTCTCATTTGTTCTGTCTTGTGTTTCATTCCCCACCCCCTCATCAGACCATCTCCCCGCTCTAATTTCCCTTCCTCTCCAGCATTCTTAGAGTAAAACTTTCTGAAGTTTCCAGCTTTTGTTCTTTTGGGGAAACGGCTCTCTTTCTCCTGATCGGAGCTCCGACAGCTGCTGTGAGCGGGTGTTGCGTCAGGTTTTTCTGTGCTCGCGACTGAGAGCTAACAAAGTTTAATGAAAACGCACGCACACACACACACCCACAGTGATGACAGAGACCAAACAAATCTGAGTCTGCCAGCTGATCATCAATAACACAGAGAGGTTTGTCCCAATTAGGTAAAATGTGCTTGGATGGAAAACAAACAAAAACAGCTGAGATCAAATAAACAAGTAACTGGTTTGGGGTTAAATGAACATCAATGCTGCTTTAAAGTGAGTAAAAGTGTGTTAGTTCTCTGAATTATCTTCTTAAAAAGATATTTTCTGTCACTAAAATGTTTATTTACATATTTTAAATGTTTTCCTGATTTTATAATTAAGTTAGATCCCTTCAGTATCTCCTCAGGTTCTGCAGAGATCCTTTAATCACTCAGTTTAAAGTAGGTGTGTTTAACACTGTAAAAAATAATAGCTTGATTTAATCACATTTATCATCAAATGATCATGTTAGAAATGCATATTTAGGTTAAATATGTATGTAAAAATATAGTTAAACATTTAAAATCCAGTATAAAGATACATCTTTGTTGTGTGTTTTTTCCAACTAAGATACAAACCTAGCTAAACTCACAGCCATTGTTCTATAAATTTGGCTGGACGCGCAGCTGGAGTCCTCTACGTCTTTTCACAAAAATAAACATTTGCCGAGTGTCGCAAAAAAAGTGCTTTGCTGGCATCAAAATGTGTCGTTAGTTTCACGTACATCAAATGTTTAAGAAGAAACAAAACAATCTTTTAATAGTGCCTCTCAAGTTAAAAATCATGGGGCGCGTCACAAGAACCAAAAAAACACAACAAATTAAAAATAAAAATATTCATCCATCCATTTTTGGCCGCATATCTGGGGTCGGGTCTCGGGGTCAGCCGCCTAAGCAGAGAGGGCAAGGCTTCCCTCTCCCCAGCCACTTGAGCCAGCTCCTCCGGAGGAATCCCAAGGCGTTCCCTGGCCAGGTGAGAGACGTAGTCCCTCCAATGTGTCCTGGGTCTTCCTATAGGTCTCCTCCTGGTTGGACGTGTCCAGAAAATCTTACCATGGAGGCATTCTGACCAGATGCCTGAGCCAACTCAACTGGCTTCTCTCGATGTGGAGGAGCAGCGGGTCTACTCCGAGCCCCTCCCGAATGACCGAGCTTCTCACCCTGTCTCTAAGGGAGAGCCCAGCCACTCTTTGGTTAAAACTCATTTACCTTACCCAAACCTCGTGACCATAGGCGAGGGTGTATATCGCCTGCTATACCAAGAGCTCTACCTTCTAGCTCAGCTCTCTCTTCACCACGACAGGCCGGTACAACGCCCGCCTCACTGCAGACGCAGCGCCAATCCACCTGTCGAGCTCACACTCCAGCTTTCCCTCACTCGTGAACTCCACTAGAGGACCTCATCCCTGAACTGGAGAAGGTATCCTACTCTTTTCTGACTCAGCGTGGATGGATGGAAAATATCATAAAACATAGGAAAAGAAAAAATTATGATTAAAAAAGAAAATGTGAGGAAAGGGGGAAAAAATGAAAGAGGGAATCAGTGGATCCCCGGAAAGGCAGGATTGATGGAAAGAGCAGATTGAGGAGAAGGCAGTGATGAAGAGTCAACCGAAGGTCACGCTAAGTCCATGGCACGTATCAAACGGGGTCAGAAAATAACTTTTTAACTCTTTGTTGTAGAAAAGCCCAAGTCTAAATAGTCCAAAGTTGATGTCATAGCTGTTTCAAACACGCCGCCACCATCTTAGTTCCGCTCAGCCGCACTAAAGTCCCACCCACCGAACAGAGCACTGTGATTGGAGCGACACCAGACTGTCCGGGGCTGCGGATGTTCCAGTGGGCCGTGGCTAGACCGACATGCAGAGCAAACGGTCTAGATTGTAGGCTAGCGGTCTGCAGCGTCATCCAGTAACTTCTCTGAACTCCAAATTCAGACTTTTTCACTAAATGCAGCGTTCTGCTCATCAGCAACAAAAACCCTGGTGAGTTTACATGTTACTATGAAGATAACTTTTATTGTTCAAGTACAAACAGTTTCGTAGACCAGTGATGTGTGATATATCAGTATCAACATCGATATTGTCCGATCGGTAAGGCCAGGCTGATTTGACCACCTTTTCCTTTGGTGCATCCCTCTGACTGAGCCATGAGGGCATTCCTCTGTATCCAAACATCCTGAATGACATGATAGGTGTGTGTTTGTGTGTTTCTGCTCTGTGTAGAGATCTCGTTCCGGGTTTGGCAGTGTGGCGGCAGCCTGGAGATCCTCCCCTGCAGCAGAGTGGGTCACGTGTTCAGGAAGAAACATCCGTACATCTTTCCAGATGGAAACGCAAATACGTACATCAAGTAAGACTTTTACACACAGCAGAGTCGAGTGGCTTTAGATAAAGGCACAGAGTGGAAGTGCTTGTTTTTCATCACCTCAAAGCAAGCACACGTAGTTTATACCTTCTAGTTTCCTTTATTAGCAGAGAGGCAGATGGAGTTTCTGCACCAGGTGTTTAAAAGGTACAACGGAAATAAAGACTATCGTTTCATTGGTTGTTTCAGAACCAAGGTTGTTTGTTATGCATTTTAATGAAAATTATCCATAGGATAAATAAAATACTTAAAGACAATTAAGTATTAGAACCAAAAGCAGAATACAGATTTTACTTCCTCAGATATTAATAGCTGGAACAGAGTTGGAGCAGAAAACCTAATAAAATAATCCTCCAGTGTGCTCGCCCACCTGTTGACCGGATTCTCTCACATCAGGTGGTCGGCGTTGCCTCTCTGATGTCTCGCAGCCATCAAACTGCTCACATCATTGTTAAAGTGGATTCACGGCTGCCTAGGAGCCTTTGGGCTGCGACTACAATGTAATGCTATTAGCATAAGCTGTATTCTGCTCTCTGCTCCTATCAAAGTGCTCCAACAGAGTCATGTTTACAGGCAGCCCAGTAATCCATTAACAGCTCTAATGTGCTCAGAACACTTCCTGTATAAACAAATCAATCACGAATGTAATAAGATTACTTGTCCCTTTCAGATTAGAGAATCAAAACCAATCCATGCGTGGTATGCAGGAAAGAAAAACACTGTACAACAAAACTAGAAATATTCCAAAGAAAATGTAACGGTTGAGTCTTTGAGGCATTTGGGATTTATTTTTATGAGTTTAGAGTGAGACAGATGACCTGTATTTGATCTGTAACCTGTAAAAGAATCGTAACAACATAAACAGAAATGTTAAAGACTCAGTGGCTCACCAGGGTCACCATGGTAACCATCAATATCTCATCAGTCACTATAGTAAACATCAGTGGCTCATTCTTCACCGTGGTTACCACACACCTTTTCATTCCCCAACAGTACTGAGAGGTCGACAGAAAGTCAAACTAAAGCTCAAACCAAAACCAATGAATGGTGTTAAAATCCTTTTTACTGAATGATGGATGGATGGATGAATGATGGATGGATGGATGGATGGATGGATGGATAATAGATGGATGGATGGATGGATGGATAATAGATGGATGAATGATGGATGGATGGATGGATGGATGGATGGATGGATGGATGGATGACTTATAGATGGATGAATGTTGGATGGATGGGTGAATGATTGGTGGATGGATGTTTGATGAATTTTGGATGGATGGATGTTTGATAAATGGATGTTGGATGGATGGATCGATGGATGGATGTTTGATGGATGGTTGGATGAATAATAGATGGATGAATGTTGGATGGATGGGTGAATGATGGACGGATGTTTGATAAATGGATGTTGGATGGATAGATGTTGGATGGATGGATGGATGGGTGAATGATGGATGGATAGATGGATTTTTATGAATGGATGAATGATGGATGGATAGATGGATTTTTATGAATGGATGAATGATGGATGGATGGATGGATGTTGGATGGAACGATTTAAACCTAAACTAAATTCTTCAAAAATCATCAAACTTAGACTGATTGCATAAATAGATCAAACTTCCAGCTCAGTGCTTTTTAAAAACGGAAGACCAGAGTGCTGTAACACATTACAAAATAAACGCTTCTATCATGTGCACAAATGAACTTCTACCTGACTCATTGAGGGGCGGGGCTTTCTTAATGGTTTCTTTGCATGTTTATGCTAATTTGGTCTACTGTATAATTCACTGCAGTCAAAGTTCATAACTGACCTTTCAGCCGCATTATTTATGTTTTACAGCGAAGCTGCAGGATGTAGCAGAGAAAAAGCCTTAAAATAAACCATTGACTGATTTTGCCTGCAGCCTTAAAGTAAACATAGAAAAGCAAACTATAAAAATTTTATAATCATCTCAGTTCTTGTTCTGCTTGATTTGAGCGCATCTATGGAAACACTACATGACAAAGTAGAAGCAATGAAGAGCAACAGCTTAATTGCAGCACTCCATCAGATCGTTACTTACGGGACTCGCTAAACGCTGCTGACCAATGATTTATCTGGCAGATTATTCCTTTAACGCTTGAGTCATTTACTAACCTCCGTGTGTGAGCAAAGCATTAAGACTACAAAGTGCAAGAGCCCTTTTTTGGTTTAATTGCCAGAGCGGAGCGCTAAAGTTCCCAGGATTGAGGGTTCCCTTCCCAAAACGAGCTCTCCGACTCAGGAATGACACTTTGGAGCAAAGCTTCGTCCAAATGGCTCGTAAAAACTTATTGTTTTGTGTCAACTGGCTAATTCGCTCCAACACCAAGACGTTTTCATTTGTGTTTTTTTAAGCCTCTGTAGTTCTTCATTTGGCTCCCTGTTGGCCGTTACCGAGGCAACATCTGTTCTGCACAGAGGATGATGACTTTTAGTCTGTTTGTGATCAACAGCCCTCTTGGAAACAAGGCCGCTGCTGTCTGATGGTGTGTTCCTCTGCTGGTTAATTAGCTGGATTCTTTTGTGTTGGCAGTCAAGATTATGAATCAACAAAAAGTGCTGCTGGATTATTTAATTACACAGATTGTTTCCTTTTGTGTTGCTGCCATGGACTTGTGTGTGTGTGTGTGTGTGTGTGTGTGTGTGTGTGTGTGTGTGTGTGTGTGTGTGTGTGTGTGTGTGTGTGTGTGTGTGTGTGTGTGCGCGTGTGTGTGTGTGCGCGTGTGTGTGTGTCTGCATGCGCGCGTGTGTGTGTCTGCATGCGCGCGTGTGCGTGCGTGTGTGTGTGCATGTGTATGCGTGCGCGCGTGCGTGTGTGTGTGTGTGTGTGTGTGTGCAGTGAGAGGCGCTAATTTAGAGGCAACATCTGACACATATTTATGTTTGAACGCCCACGAGCATCGCGTGTCCTCTCTCTGTTCCCCTTTCATTAAGCCGCCACGGCCGGCGCGGGTAATGCTCATAATGGAGGGTTTCTGTCAATTCAATGAGATTGTTCACAGCTCACAGAAACTCTGCTAATAGCTAATTACTGCAGAGAGGAAAACGAAAATGAGACAAAAGGGGTAAATGGGGATGAGAGGCAGGGAAAATGTGCTTCTCTGTTGGCGCAGTGTGGGTGAATAAAGGGCACTGGGTTGAATAGAAATGAGCTGATGCAGAAACACGATTCACAGCAGGTGGAAATGTGGTTTAATACCTGAAAGTTTCCTTTGGACGAGAAAATGCTCCAAGAGTGTTCTCAAAATGTCAGTCAGCGAGGAAACAAGTGAACTTATGACCTCATTTAGACCTGATGACAACAGTAGCTCCACTCACTTCCTGTTCTCCAGTCACACCAGACCTAAATTCTGTGACCTCGACTAAATGGAAAGTGTTGAAGCCTTGATTTAAAGTAATTATGCTTTTATTTTGAAATGGTTTTTATGGAGTAGTTATTATGATCAGTCAGTATCTTACCTGAAGTCTTGAGACTTTTGTAAAACATTTAAGGAAGATCCCAAAGTTCTGAACATTTATAAAAAAATACCATTTTTTTTCATTTATATTTATTTATTTTATTTGTTTCTATTCTAATTGATCCCACTTTATTTTCATGTTTATTTTAATTTTTATGATTTATAATTTTTTTATTTTTTTTTACTTGATTTCATTTGTTTGTTTGTTAGCCTAAGTCACGCCCACTTCTGAACCATGGGTCCCTACTGCCAATAAAAATGAATGGGAGTATATGAGTGGATAAAAGTTTTTTCTGATTTACTTACTTAACAATGGATGGACGGATGGACGGACGGACGGACGGATGGATGGATGGATGGGTACATGGATAGATGGATGGACCATTGGATAATGGATGGATGGATGGACTGGTGAATGATGGATGGATGGATGGATGGATGGATGGATGGATGGATGGATGGATGGATGGGTACATGGATAGATGGATGGACCATTGGATAATTTATGGATGGATGGACTGGTGAATGATGGATGGATGGATGGATGGATGGATGGATCAATGGATGGATGGATCAATGGATGGATGGGTACATTGATGGATGGATGGATCGGTGGATGGATGGATGGATGGATGGGTACATGGATGGATGGCTAGATGGATGGATGGGTACATGGATGAATGGATGGACTGGTGGATGGATGGATGGATGGGTACATGGATGGATGGATGGACCGATGGATGGATGGGTGAATGGATGGGTACATGAATGGATAGATGGACCGGTGGATGATGGATGGATGTATGGATGGGTACATGAATGGATGGATGGTTGGTTACATGAATGGATAGATGGACTGGTGGATGATGGATGGACAGACGGATGGATGGATCCTGTTTGAAACGAGCCATGGATCTCACATTCTGATGCCAGGAAAGTGCTCATTTTTGACCGCGGGCAAAAGTTATTTTTGGTTTTGTTTGAAAAGACGTGGAGGACTCCTGCTGCTCGTCTCACCAAAGCGGAGGAGAAAACAATGGCTTAATTTAGCGAGCTTCACACCCTCCTTCCAGTGAAAAAGAAGGAGCATTAAATGTAAATCCACAAATCTGGTTGTATGGAAATCTATGCTGGGGGTGGGGGGGTCTGCTGTGATGTCATATGTGTGACGTCTGATTTTTTAAATTATGTATTTTTAATAGCAAATATTTAAAGCTAGTAAATCTCCAATTAGGTGGCAGACTTAGTCAAAACTCACATAATTATTAACATTTACATGAAGTTCCACATATGTGTGGTTTAGGGTGAAAGGTCATGACCCGTGAGCCAATCAGGAGGGGAGGAGTCTTCGGATCTCCATATATTTTATTTTGTAATACTTCTCCAGCTTCGCTGTTTTCTTTTTCTCCTGCATGAAATTCCTGGATCAGAGAGACCGAAAAAACGGCCCAAAGCTGAATAGGATGAATTTGGTTTTGTGTGTGTTAACAGGAACACGCGTCGTACAGCCGAGGTGTGGATGGACGACTTCCGTCTCTTCTACTACTCCGCTCGCCCGGCAGCACGAGGAAAATCCTACGGAGAGTAAGAACGACCAAAACCGACACGTCACAGATTCACCGTTACAACCTGACTTTCGGGACCACAAATACTTGATTTAATCAACATAAAAACACTTTACAGCTGCCGACTCTGAGCGGAGTTTTAAAATGACATCGGCAGGGTGTTCGTCAATAGTGAATATTTCCATTTAGTGGCCATTTGTTGGTCTGCTCACTGGATTAATGCGATCATCTCCCTAAGAGGTGATTCACTTGATTTGTAGCCTGTTTTCTCTTGTTTTCTTCAGCAGTTAAACCAAAGAGGGTGATAAACCACTGCTCTGAGCGCTGGACGTTACTTTTAAAGCCCAAATTAAATGGTCTACCTCATGCTTGTGTCTTCATTCCAGTCGGGAGCGACAGGGTGGTTTGTGCACAAACACAACAGTCGTCTTTAAATGTCAGTTTATCTGTCGGGAACATGTGAGATCTGAAGTTCCTCACAGCGTTCCTCCAGCTGTGCATGAGGATTTTCCTGTCCGTGTCCAAGTGGTGACTTATTTTTTCTGTTTGTTTTGTGTCTCGCCAGCATTCGAGGCAGAGTGGAACTACGCAAGAAACTCAAGTGCAAATCCTTCAAGTGGTACTTGGACAACGTGTACCCCGAGCTAAAGTAAGGACGCCTGTGTGTGTTGTTTGACTTATTTGTGGCTGGAAAGCTTCTGCTGAGGATGCAAACTTAAAGGAGAATTTCTAAGGCTGAAGCCAAAACGGGCTTTATTACCATCTGGGTCATTGTTGGAGACAGATTATGTTTTCGATGGTTTTGTACTTTTCGCCGTCTGTGGTAGGCTGTTACTGGGTTCGCTCATAAGGCTCTGCTGACTCATCTGGGCACAGATGCAGAACTCTGGAGGTTTTAGTTCAGAGGTGATTAAATCAGCAGGTGAAGAGAGACGGAGTTCAAACAAAACATAAATCTGGTAGGTAAAATCCAAGGGTCAGACTTCAACATCAGCTAGTCCAAAAACCTTTTCTATATTTTATTAAAACGCTCTTGATTCAGTATAAAATTATAAAAATGCTGTAAATATTTCCTGAAAGACTCCATAACTTCATCCCTTTGCATCAGATTGGATTGAATCCTAAAAATACGCCTGGATGTACCGATGGATGGATGTATGGATGTACGGATGGATGTATGGATGTACGGATGGATGTATGGATGTACGGATGGATGTATGGATGGACGGATGGATGTATGGATGGACGGATGGATGGATGCATTGACAGTCGGGACACTTTTAAAAAACAGCTAAAGACCCTTTATTTAAAGCTGCTTTTACCTAAATCTTTTATATCCTTATTTTTAACTCAAGTTTTTAATCTTTCATCTGTTTATGAAATTAGATAATTTTATGACTTTGTTTTTTCTGATTTTAATCTATTTCTGTTTTGAGATTATGACTTTGTTTTGATCTATGTGATTCTATGTGATAAGTGCTATATAAATAAAATTTACTTACTCACCAATGGATGGATGGATGGATGGATGGATGGATGGATGGATGGATGGATGGATGGATGGATGGATGGATGGATGGATGGATGGATGGATGGATGGATGGATGGATGGATGGATGGATGGATGGATGGATGGATGGATGGATGGATGGATGGATGGATGGATGGATGGATGGATGGATGGATGGATGGATGGATGGATGGATGGATGGATGGATTTCAGGTTTTCAGTGAATTTGCTCCTTACTTACGGTAACTGGATACTTTTCACCACCTGATGACTCTCTCTCTCTCTCTCTCTCTCTCTCTCTCTCTCTCTCTCTCTCTCTCTCATTTTTGTTTTTCATTTACTTAAATTAAAATATCTTATCTCCTAATTTCTAAACTCAGCCTGACGGTCAGGATGAACCTTTAAGAGTTTCATCACAGTTTAATGAAATTTGAATCTGAAAATACACACAAAAAAACTCAGTTCCTTATAAAACTATTTTGAGAAGCTAGTGACTTGTCAGCTTTACGTGGAACGATGTGTGTTGTTACTATTATGGTTTAAACCAAATATTAAAATTCCTCTCCATGTTGAGCTGAGGCCACTTTTCTGCCTCACGCTGCTCATTTTGGTGTCTTTGATCTCCTCATTCTCAGCCTTAGTGAGTTTTCCACACTGATCCGATCAGACTCCTCAGATCCACTGTCCTAAACACACACACACACACGCATGCACGCACGCTCACACACACACACAGACAATACAAACCCTTCCTGAAATCCCTTCTCACGGCTTTATAAATTCCCATTTATTCACCGGAGGCCAGTTTTAATCCCTCAGAATGGAATTAACAGGCTTCCTCTCCGGGGACAACAGACCTGACCCTTAAAACCCAGAATAACCTTTATTTATTAAAGTCAGAGATAGCAGATTGAATTAAAGCCGCTCGGCTTAAGCTGGAGAAATTAACAAGAAAGAGTTTAACAAAGGAAACTTTTGGAAGTTTAGAGTCTCGTTGCCTCCGGCAGATTTGTTAAAGGTGCCTCCTGGATGCCTCTCTGGTGAGGTTTCCCGGGCACGTTGAACCAGTAGGGGACCTGGAAGACCCAGGACACGTTGGAGGGACTATGTCTGTCGCCTGGTCAGGAAACGCTTTGGGATTCTCCCGGAAGAGCTGGTCCAAGTGGCTGGGGAGAGGGAAGTCTGGGCCTCTTGATTTAAGCTGCTGCCCCGCTATCCGACTCCGGATAAGCAAAAGAGAGTGGATGGATGGACGGACGGACGGATGGATCCGACCTCAGTAGGAGTCAAACAAGAGTCAGCATGGGTAGTTTCCTGAATCGCCAGATCTCAGACACGTTTCCTGCACGTTTCAGATCAGGAACACAGCTGATTGGTTTGATTTAGTGATGAATCACTCCTGTAGACACCATTGAAGGATGGGAGACATCAGCTGTTAGATTAAGATGTTAGAAAGACAAATGCACAGCGAGGAGATATGTTTCATTTAGGTTCTACTAACGGACACTAGGGGGTGCTAAAAGCAAGCCAAATTCAAAGTTTCCTTTTAAATGATCTCTTTACGTAGCATCATTGGATGTGTTGTTTTTGCATTCTTTGTAACTAATTGCTAGTATTTTTATAATGTTCCGAGTTGCGTGTTATATTTTTGTTTGTGTTTTTAGTTTTTTGTCATTTCTGCAGATTATGTCTGCAGATTAGGATTGGATTTTACATAAAACCTTAATCTAAGGACGACAGATTTAAGCTGCTGTTAAAAAGTTTTTCAGCTGTTTAACGGAAGCCTCCTGGTCTCCATCAGGGTACCGGATGACTCGGACTCGCGCTCCGGTGTGATCCGTCAGAGGCAGAACTGTCTGGAGTCTCAGAAGGTAGACGGTCAGGAGACACCCATCCTGACTTTGGCTCCCTGCGCGAGGATAGAAGGCGTCCCCACCACCAGTCAGGTCAGCTGTAAAAAAAGTTTTTAAAAATCCATTTTTTTTCCTCTTGCTTCCCAGGCCTCCTGTTTTTCTAATTAATTCTAATATACAGTACCGTAGTACACATATTATACTGAGAACGTTTTAATCCAACTTAAATTTGTTTCAAGCATGTTTTATTATAAAATGCACATTTGTGCTGTGAGACCTGCTCCAAAAATCCAACGTTATCATTTAAAATCAGTAATTCTAACATTATTGTTCACGTCTGTAAGGACACTTGCAGGGTAAACGTGACTGCGGTTTTTACAGTCGGACACGTTGAAAACAAATGAAGCAACAGGTGACACTGGGGTGCACGTGCAAGGAACGTGCACACGGGGGAACATCTCGTTTGTTTTCATTTTTTGTGTAACTGAGTCAGAGCTAATCTGACTGTGTTCATTTTCAACTAACCAGGCCAGCAGCGCACCAAAGTAGCTGTGTGTGTGTGTGTGTGTGTGTGTGTGTGTGTGTGTGTGTGTGTGTGTGTGTGTGTGTGTGTGTGTGTGTGTTCACTCCCATCTCTGTTATAGTTAATACCCACAGGATTCTCATTATTCGGTGTTTAGAGCGAGTTCGGAGGCTGTGATTGGAGCAAACAGGCACGGCGTGCAGCGGGCCGACACACCAGCAGCAGAAAAGCCCAAAGGCTGGGTGACCTAAAGGTTGCTGGTTGAAATCCCAAAGCTAACAATAAAAATCACTGGGCCCCGAGCGTCTCCCTTCCAACAATATTAAGAATAAAATAAACAAATGAAACCCTGAAGGAGTTTTTTTACGCCTGTTAATCTGGTTTGGTGTCTGAACTTTACTAGCTTCACTAATGTCTTTGTTTAAAAGGTGATAAATACCCATTTCTGTAGAAACGAGCTTTTATCACATGACAGGAAAAGTGAATATTTTAGGTTCTGATCAGAAAACAAGCCGTTCTGGAACAATCTGCTCCTCCTTTTATTTTCTTATTTGGTTTTAACAAACTTGACAGAGTTGCAGAAACAACATTTTAGACGCTCTTAATGACTCTGGTCAGAACTTCTGACGTGTAATAAATCCTCAGCAGAGGTTCAGCTTCACTCACCACATTTATTTTACTTTAGCTTTAATAAGACGACAAATGTAAAACCCAACAAGATAATAAAACGGCTCCGACCCTGCAGGTGTGACCAGGTCTTATGTGAACGTGTGAATTAAAAAGTAGATCAGGTGTCGTTAAAGAGCTCCTCGCTCCGTGCACGCTGAGCTTCAGATGTTTTATCGTTACTCTGAGCCGTACACTTTGCTTTAACCTTGAATTCACTTCTTTTTGGTCTCCCTTACAAACTCGTTCATAAACTTCAACTGGTCCAGAACTGAGCAGCCCATATTATCACCAGAACCCCTTTCTTTCACCACATCACCCCGGTTCTCCAGCAGCTTCGCTGGCTTCCAGTTAAATTCAGGTCCATCTTCAAGATTCTCCTCCGTGCCTTCAAAGGCATCCACAACCTCTCTCTAAACCCTTATGTTTCAGACCTTATTTGTATTACCACCCCCTCCCGTTCCCCCAGATCATCTTCCTCCCTCCATCTTGCTGTTCCTTCTGCCCGTCTCACTACCATGGGGAGCAGAGTTTTCAGCCGCTCTGCTCCCCGTCTCTGGAACTCACTCCCCCTAGACATCAGAAATATTGACAGTTTCACCCTCTTCAAATCCAGACTCAGGACCCACCTGTTCAAATCTGCCCATGACCTCTGATTTTATTTGAATTCTCTTTTTTCTTTCTTTATATATATATTTTTTTATGTTCTTTTCTTCGTTGTGTTTTATTGAATGTATTTTCCTGTCAAGTGACCTTGGGTGTCCTGGAAGGCGCTTTTAAATAAAATGTATTATTATTATTATTATTATTAACCTATTATTTATTCTGAGAGGGGTTAGCTGAGCTCCACGCTGACTTGGTTCTTATTTCTATAATAACTTTGTTTCACCTGCAAACCGCTCAGGTAGAGCCGTAAGGCTCCGAAATCTGTTTTCTCCAAACAAAGCTAAGGGGAGGACGATGATGAGCGCCGCCATCTGTGCGTTTCCCTCGCTCACGCTGACACAGGTGGAGGAGGGGCTTATGTACACACATATAATCAGGTGGTCTTGATCACGACAAGTGTTGAGGTGCCTGAATCTCTCCAGCTGTGAGAAGAGCCCTCCATGCCACTGGACCAGTTAGCCTCTGATGTCATTCTGTTCACAGCAGTTCAATAAATCAGTCAATCGGTGAAATCAAGCCTGCAGCGCCGGGATGCTCCAGACTAAATGTTTTACATCACAGAGCTGCTGCAGAAGACCTCCATCTGTCCTGCTGACTGCTGCCCAGCCTCCACGTGGGCACACCAGCAGGACCACGGGGTTCCCTTCCCGTCAAACGAAATATAGATGATTTTAGGTCCATTTATTGTTTTTATTTATCAATAATAAACTGGAGCTCCAATGCTTCCTCCTGCCTGGAAACGGAGGAGAAAAGAGGAATAAAGCTACAAAAACAGGAACAATAAATACTAAATAAAGTCTCTCTCTCGCTCTCTCTCTCTCTCTCTCTCTCTCTCTCTCTCTCTCTCTCTCTCTCTCTCTCTCTAGGAGTGGGTTTACACTCATGGACAGCAGATCCGTCAGAAGCAGCACTGTTTGTCTGTATCCACCACCTTCCCCGCCTCACAGGTTCTGATGCTGCCCTGCAACATGGCGGACGGCAAACAGGTCTGAACACACATACACACACCCAGGTGGTGTGTATCTGCAGGCGAGACACCAGCGTTTATCACATGGCTGATAAATAAATCAAAATGTTAATAAATCTAAAGATAAATTTAGCTGAAAATAACTGCTGCATGGCTCTGCAAATCGCGTGGACATCAGGGGCAGTCCCACTGGACTGGCAGACCGGGGTGGTGGTCCCCTTATTTAAAAAGGGGGACCACAGGGTGTGTTCCAACTACAGGGGATCGGAGTAGATCCGCTGCTCCTCCACATCGAGAGGAGCCAGTTGAGGTGGCTCGGGCATCTGGTCAGGACGCCTCCCTGGTGAGGTTTTCCAGGCACGTCCAACTGGGAGGAGACCTAAAGGTAGACCCAGGACACGGTGGAGGGACTATGTCGCGACCCGACTCCGGATAAGCGGATGAAAATGGATGGATGGATAATTGCTACACACACACACACACACACACTCCCAGATGCTTGACACGTTTCCGAGTGTGTAGTTTTGAATAATCTCAACACACCTGCAGACACACACGTTCACACTTGTCATTACCCGACCACTGGGCACCTTGACGGCTTCCCAGAAGCCCCTGCAGCAGAGAACAACCTGACAACCAATAAATCACCTGAGAAGGAAGGAGAGAAGGAACACGAGGAGAGACGGAGGGAGACAAAAGAAGAGGAGGAGACGAAGAGAGGAAACGAGGGATTAGAGGAAGATTTTCTCATTACACCTCACCAGCTGTTCAGCGTGCATGAAAGAAAAATCTGCTCAAGTGGGTTTTTCTTAATCACTTCTGGGTTTTCGCAATCTAAAACAAATCCAGTGGAAATCTGGATTTACTCACGATGAATCACACAGGTAGAAAAACGTTTGTGCCAGGAAAAGAAGGAAAACTGAAAATTAAAGTAAATTTTAAGGAAATGGAAACAAAAGCTGTAGGAAAACAAAGTCCAGGAAGTTGCTCAGCTGTGCATCACATGCATTCACACTACAGCGTGTCGACAGGAGCTTAAAGCACAATAAGGAACAATAAATCACAGGAATCCAGCCTCTCTATGCAGGTGACTGTGCATTATTTCCTTTTTGCTTCCAGCTTCGTAATAAGGCTGCAGGGTTCCAGAGGTCTGAATATTTTTACACCTCGGTAAGCTCCCTCGTGGCAGCAGCCTGACAGGAAGTAGATGTGTCAGCCGAGGTAGGGAATCTGAGAAAAAGTTGTTGTTTTCTGTGAAGGAAAGTGGGATTGAAGGTGTGAAACCCGAAGTCGTAAATGAGGAAAATCTCTGTTTTCTGTCTCGGTGCATGTGGAGACACTCGTGATGCTCTTCGGCAGGTTTGGGGAGTTTAAGGGGAAGAATCAAGCGGCTAGGTTTTAACAAAGGGAAAGAGAACGGCTTAAATAAGAACGGAGGGTTGGAAAAGGGGTGATGAACGGAAAGAAAGGGGAGGGAAATTAAGATTAGAGAAGAAGATGAGCAGTAAAAGATGGATTAAAGTAAATAAACAACGGAAGAAAGAGAATAACACAGAGAAAGCAAGGAGAAGAGCGAAGATATCTGAAAAAGGCAAAAGACGAGGAAAATCAAAGAAAAGTAAAACCAATGTGCTTCGTTATAAAATAAGTCGAAGTTCTCATTTCTAAAGCTGCAATAGTGAATTTACAGAACAAGCTAGCTTTTAAACGCAAACGCAATCACCCCTCCCGTCAGGCTACGTCTGCCAGAACCGGAAACCCGCCATGCCGGAGGAAACGATATGGTGCTTAACACCAGTCACTGTTTCCTAGGTCCAAACGTGTTTTGATGTCCGTGACTTCAGATTGTGTTTTTCTTTTTAAAACTCATTTTTACTGTAAAAATCTAATTATAGCTCTACTAACCAGCTCAGTGTCCTAGTGGTAGAGCCTCCGCCCTGGGACTAGGAGATCAGGTTCAAGTCTGGTCGGGTCAGAAGACCTTAACAGTGGGACCCAACAGCTTTAAGGGGTTGGGTTGGAAGGTTAAATCACCAAACGGTTCCTGAGCGCGGCCCTGTCTGCAGCTCACCTCTTGCCCAGGGGATGGGTCAGATGGGGAGAACACATTTCACACACACTAGTGTGTGACAACTGATGGGACTTTAACTATGTTAGAATGTTGTAAAGAGGCCAGAAGAAATGTTTTAAGGTAGCTGGTTTTGGAGATTTGTTATAGCAGCTTTGATCCTGGACAAAGCCGATCAAGTGAGCTACAGTTTGATAAAACACTACTCAAAGGCTCTGCCTCTTAGGCCACACCCCTCAGAAGATCACAGGAGATTGTCGGATGCAACAGATACTTTCAAACGTCCATAAAAACGTAACAATCAAATCCTTTCAACCTGTTGTTCCTGACACAGTTCCTTATGCAACGCACCGATGTAGCCGCCCGCCACAGAGCCTCCAGGCTTACGACGGACTCGTACGCCGGAGTTCGGTCCGCTCTCTGTCCACGCGAAAGGTCTTGGAGAGAGACGCCATTGGGACATATGGGTTAGCAGGGAGATCTGTGCTTGTTACGCTGGGATCCTCCTCTGCTACATAACTGTGAAACATTTTAGCATGCTAGCTAATATAGCTAACCTGACTCTGGCTTTACTTCCTGTTCAGCTGCTCCAAGCTGATTGGTGCACATAGAGGGGTGTTTGCAGAGGGGGAGGGATGGTCAGAGGGCACTTGGATGGATGGACCTGGATCCGGTCACCAAGAACAGGACGTTCACCATGATTGGATGAGCCTTTGTCCAGAACTGTATGTTTCAGATGAGATTACAGTTATTTCTCTTTGTGAAAAATATTTAATATACTGGTTGTCATCAGTATGTAAAAGCAAGTAATTCTCTAGAAAAAGACCAAAATCAAGAAGAGAAAACGAAGTTGAAAATAAACTCGTCTGACCATAACTGAGACAGAAAAATGAGCTGTTGTTCTTTATTTGACCTGTGACTTATCAGCTGATCGCACAGAACATCTACTCTGAAAACACAAATTAATCCAACATATTTAAACTAATGCATCTTTTAAAACACCTTAGATACTTTCAGGTTTTTTCACTTGGTTGGAAAATCAGAAACGTTCCTGTGCAAAAATAAATCTTAGGAGAAAAACGCGGGAGAAGAAACAAGCGAAATGCTCTGAAGTCTGTGATAGAAGTTGTAACACATTCAGCTCAAACAGGCAGGTGTTACACACCTGAGGGAGATCCAGCTCAGGCCTCAGGTAACACACTTAAAGGATTAAACACACACACCAGCATGTGTGTGTTTGTAGCAGAGCTGCTGAAGCGCATCTCTGTCATGTAAATGAAAAGGTGTAAATCCGTGTGCGTGTGTGTGTGTGTGTGTGTGTGTGTGTGTGTGTGTGTGTGTGTGTGTGTGTGTGTGTGTGTGTGTGTGTGTGTGTGTGTGTGTGTGTGTGTGTGTGTGTGTGTGTGTCAGAAGGCAGGAAGTAGAGCGATGATAGCTAATTAGAACGAGGATCCACCAGAGAAGCAGCCCAGAGCTGACAGGTAGATGCAGAAACACGGCGAGGGAGAGAGAAAAATGCAGCGTTAGGCTGAAATAAGGAGAGATACAGAAATACTCAGAGAAGCAGCACCGGAGACGCAGCTGGACTAAGAAAATGGTGAAAACGGAGTAAAACCAGCTGTTTCTGCTGGTTAAGTAGAGTTCCCTCTGAGCCAGGGGCGGATTTAGGACTGAAGAAGATCCGGGGCTTAACATGCAAACACGCACATGCGCACGCGCGCACACGCACTAGTCAACATCATATATATACAGTATATGTCTTGTACCACATAATTTTTAATCTGAAGCTACATATTCAGCATATTCAGGGCAGAGTATTGTTCCTGTTAGTGTTTAGTGTGAGATGATAGTAAATATTCCCGTTCTTTCTCCATCAACTTTACCTGATAGTAAGCTAACTTTAGGCAAACCAGCAGCACAACAAATATTTTCAAATAAGACTCACAAACCTGAGTCAACACCAGTATCATCAAAGCTGGGGTTCTGTCGTTGTACTTTTGGTCCAAAAAACGTCCTTATGTCCATCTTCACTCATGCGTTTCAGACAAGAGACTGTAGAAGAAGCCGGCTGCTGAAGGGCTTCTTCTTCAGTGGTGGAGGCTCAGGCAGGCTGTATACAAACTACTGCCAGCTGCGCCCTCTCTGTTGGACTTTGGTACTGCATGTTACTTCCGCGATTTAGATCCGGGGCTTATCATGAAAGATCCGGGGCTTCAGCCCAAGTAGCCGGGCCTAACGCCGCCCCTGCTCTGAGCACCAGAGTTTTACCGTTCAAACACGTATTTAATAACCAGCCCCAACACTCGCAGGAGGCTTTAGCTAAGAGCTATTGTAATAACTAAAGAAGCTAGATTAGCTCTTAGTTCTGAGTCAAGTTTATTTTTGCCTCTCGTGTCTCAGAAAAGACGTAAACACACCAAATCCTTCACTTTCACCGTTTAGGTTCACTGATGGATAACTTGTTGTCCAGCCATTTTCATCGTTATTGATTCTTTATGGTTCCTTTAATCCTGAGTGAAAAAGGTCATCGACTGTACACAATAATCAAAAAGCAAAGAATGTAAGTAATTTTAAACAACACGAGTCCCCGTATTGAGCCCTGAGGAACACCTGAGGTTCTGGTGGTAGTTTGTAATTCTTCACTATTGACTTTTACCTGTTAGTTAAATTACTTTTAAACTAGCGGAGGAATGAATGATCACTTTAACCAAAGGCTTTCACTAACTGTGTAAAATCTTAGCGACACGTCAGGGAAATGATTTTCTCACATTTTTGTGTTTCCAGCTGACGCCGTCCAACTTTCATTAACCGTCCCACTGTCTTTATGGGTGACCCCGCGAGGAAAGTTGACCATTGAGCAGGATTGAAGAGTGAGCACCACCTCACCCCTGCCACGTGGACCCAACTTTATAATCTGGTTAAAATTTGGGATCTTTACTGATTTGTTCTGTTTCGGTGTTTTTAGTGTTGATCAGATACAATCAGCAGCCTGAGTGCGCGCACGCACACACACACACACAAAATTCAATTCAAAAATACTTTATTAATCCCAGAGGGAAATTAGAGTTTCAGTAAACACAGTTCTGAGATCAGACACACATACATAGACACATGACAAGAAATGGTGACTGTGGTCATTCGCAACCTGAGTCGCACTACCGTAATAGATCAAGAGGGTTTATATGAGGATAGAGTCAGGGGGCAGGAAAAAAAGGCACTTCAGAGTTAAGGTTGGTTTATGCTAGACACGTCCGCGAGGTCCGCACGGCTCCGCGCGGAAAAGTTGCGTCATTTTAACAACCACGCACCTCCGCACGGCCCAGAATTTCCGCAACGCGCACCTCGGAAAATGTCTTACCACGCGGACGGACGGACGCGGAAAAACATGGTGGATCGGCAAGAACTAGTACGGCAGAGGTTCGTAAATACAGACATTTGTATGATTCAGCTCTCAGAGATCACCGTGATCAACATGTTGTTAATAAATCTTGGAGAGAAATAGCTCGCACCGTCTGAAAAGACGAGAACGCTGTTAAAAATGCTGAAATGCCGTGTTGTAAACAGTAATTTCTACTTCTACTATGGTGTAGTGTTGGATGTTTGCCGTAGAGCTCCATGCTGCCCCGTTCAGTTTGGGAGAATATTGGCTCACCGCAGAGACGAGCCGCACGAACCATAAACACTGCGAGTTGTGAAGCGCGTTCCATCCGCGAGCCGCATCACCGCGCGGAAAGTGAATGCGTCAAGCATAAACTAAGCTTTACCCTCAACAGAGAGGGCAGCTTTGCTATGCAAAAAACACCTCAGACAGAAATGCACACAGACTTCAGACATTACACAACATAAGTGTCCACTAGGTGGGGAGGTAGGGTTGGAACTCTCCTCACTTCAGTGCGTGCAGCCGCATGGGGCAGCGCTCATCACCTCCGTTTGGACAGGGGAAGGAGATAATGGATTAGAGGGCACAGTGACTTGTAGATACGGTTCCACGGCCTTCACCGGTCACAGTCCCGCCCAGGCTGGGAAAGGGAGAAAGAGAGTTTCCATAGCAAGGGTTTCTCCTAACGGAGACCCTCTGACTGACTCCTGTTGCAGGTAAAGCACTCATGACTCATAACAACTTTTATTAGCTATCCGTTACAGCCTCGTTTGGTAACATCTTCACTCCAACTCAGAGTTATTGCTGCGACTTTCAACTCCACAGAGTCTGAAATTCAAACCCAGAGTATCTCCCGAGAGCTGATCTGTGCTCATAACAATCTGAACTTGGCTGAAATCCCAGAGGAGGAAGTTTCAGGTCCGTGTGCCTTTCACCCTGTGATGACCTGAGAATGATGAGATACGCCCTCCTCTTCCCGCAGTCAGGAGCTAAAGTCTTCTGAACTTTGGTACAGTGTTTAACGGAGAGCAGCGGTAATGAGGTGAATACTAATTGATTTACTTTTAATTATCCTTTTTTCTCTTTCAATTAAAAACTCTGCGGCGTTGCTTCTCTGTGACGAGCGTCATCCTGCCAGCGTTGCAGGAGACCGTAACGTAGTTTTAAAGAACAAAGGCTGCATGCGTGCACGTGTGCGTGTGCACGTCAGGAGATGAGGATATATGATAGAGATGAGCTTCAAAGGCTCCACGAATGGGTCTAAATAGGTGCATTGCACTCAACACAGACTAAAATATAAATGGATACACAAAATAAAATAAAATGATAAATAATTAAAAGTAAGTAAATAATACAAATTAAAAAATAGCAAAAACTATTTTTTATTAATAAATACAAATAAATAACAAATGTGTAAATAAAATACAAAATTATTTTAAAATAAATTAAATATTTAATTGAATTAACAAATTATACAAAAGTTAGAAATACCTTTATTTTTAATAAATACTAATAAATATTAAGAAATATATGAATACATAAAATACAAATATTTAATCTCCTCTCTGACCGAGTTTCAAGGCTGAAATGAAAACTTTTCTCCACATCTGCTGCATTTTCGGTATCCAGCGGTTAACGATGCGTTTACGCTGTTATTGATCCTCCGATAACCCGCACTGACCTTATTTTGTTATTTCAGTCGAAACGAGTCTTCAGGAAAACAAACAAGCACAAATTTGGTCTTGTCTCGTCTTCTTCCGCCTATCCGGGTCCGGGCAGCATCCCAACTCGGGAGTTCCAGACCGTCCTCTCCCCGGCCACCTCCACCAGCTCCTGCGGCAGGACTCCAGGGCGTTCCTGGGCCAGTTTGGAGATGTACTTTCTCCATCGTGTCCTGGGTCGACCGGGGGCCTCCTGCCAGCAGGACATTTCTGAGACACCTCCCTGGGGAGGCGTCCAGGAGGCATCTTAACAAGATGCCTAAACCACCTCAACTGGCTCCTCTCGATATGGAGGAGCAGCGGCTCTACTCAGAGTCTCTCCCGAATGTCCAAGCTCTGCACCCTAACCCTACTGCTGAGCCCAGCCACCCCGTGGAGAAAACTCATTTCGGCCGCTTGTACCCGCGATCTTGTTCTTTCGGTCATTACCCAAAGCTCACGACCATAGGTGAGGACTGGGCGGTAGATCGAATCAAATTTGGTCTGATGACAGAATTCTCGACTGGAGGAAGGTGGGATGTTCCTCCCTGGAGAGGGGTTCTAGCACCTCTGTCTCGTTCCTGACCCAAGATGGGCTGGAGAAGAGATGGCTCATCTGCAGGGATGAGGGAGGGATCCAGTATGAAGCCATCTATCTACTGGTTCATCTAAATGTTCTCACGTGGTTTGGATCTGGACTAGAATAAAGAGAATTTATACACATGCTGCTAAAGTTTTCCTCAGCAGCAGCAGCGTAAGGGAGCAGGTGAGGATCTCAGTCACCTGAGGTGGTTCAAGCTTCTGATAACGATGCTTCCTGATTTTCTCCCTCTGGAGTTTCATGAAGAGGCTCTGCAACAGATCCAGAACTCCCTGAAAGGGTAGGGTTATTATGGAAAACCTGGAAAACCTCCAGAAGGATGCATGGAGTCTTGACATAAAGCACTGAAACACTCTAGTTTCATCTGCAGGATCAAAGAAAAAGAGACAAGTGCTCTATCTGGTGGCCATTTGGAGGCATTACAGGATTTTTCATTTAAAGCTGCAGCAAAAACACATTTTTATGTGAAATAACTTTAGATAAGTGATTCATTTTTCCAAATTCAAAATCTTCTGTCATTTTTGACAAAGGTTAATATTGAAAACTCTTTATGAAATGACTCTTTTGATGTATTTGTGTCAGGATCAGCCATTGTTCTGATCATATCATCTCTCCGTTTCCATAGGAAACTCACAGATGGTTGTAATCAAGCCTCTTCTTCATTCACCTCTGCTGTGTATTTAAACCTGTTGTTTTCACTCATGTTTGTTCGTTGATGCGTACTCCTGATGTTTGCGTTGAGTTAAACCAGACCGCCTGCCTCCTGGAGGTTTCTCACCTGCATCTGCGACCTGCTCTTGATTTTATGTCAGACTTTGTGTTTCTTTCTCCCGCAGGCTCTGACTCGGGTTTGTCCTTTAAAGCTCTGAGAACATTTTCATGTTATGCTAAAGACTGATAGCAGCTTTGTCTCGGTCAGATTCCCGTTTCTCTGCTCATCAGCACTCAGTCGGTGATGTACACCTGCTGTGCAGATGGTGGCTTCACACCTTTTCACACAAGCAGGTTTCTGCATCAGAAACATCTTTTCACTGCTGAATAAGAATAAAACAACTATTACACTGATTTAGAGAATGATTGTGTTACTACTCAAATAAAGAAGGAAAAATGGGAATTTTCATGAAAGTTCTGTTGTTCTGTTCCTACAGCGTTGGCAGAAGTCAGGGACTCACCTGGAGCACCTGGTGTCTCGGTTCTGCCTGGATTCAGAGATGGCTCTGGATGGCATGGACTCATCCCGGATGCTGGTCATCAGCCCGTGTGAACTCAGCGCTTACACACAGAGATGGGAAGTCCCCTTTTCCTGACCAGGTGACATTACTCCTGAAGTCCCTCAGCAGAGCTGACCGCCTGTTGCACAAGCTGCAGACGTGAAAGGAATCGGGTCACGGCACCACACTGAAGACAGCTCTGTCAAAGATCTGCGGGGATGAAAACATGGCTGCCAAAATGGATACATGAACAGTTTGTAGGATGAGTGAAAACAAGGATCCGAGTGAAACTAAGTGCACCTTAAAACTCCGAACCGTAGAAAACACTTTTTCTGTGATGTTTTATGTTTTAATCTGAAATTTAAATCTAAGCACAACTCATGATTTAACTGGCTTTTCGTCTCCATCTTCACAGCTGCAGAAACATCTCAGTCAGCTTTTACTCAAATGTGACCAGAAACCATCAGGTTAGAGATAATAATCGTCAGGTCTTCGTAAAGTAAAACTCTTCTGAAACCTCAAAACTAAAGAAGCAAAGAACAGCAAACAAAGATCCAGTTTTTATTGCCTCATCAACATACTTGGTCAAGTTTACATGTCTGTGTTGCTCTAAAGCTACACAATAAAATAACCGATGTTTTGACCAGATTTAGTTTTTCTACCACAGCCAGGTCGGTTTCCTACGTAACTTATTATGACGGTTTTCCCTCCTGATGGAAGAAAGATGCTTAAAACCTGTTTCTGCATGATGAATGTTTTCAGGTACGTGGCCCAGAAGGTTCAATGATACACAACAGCTTATTTCACAAACCATAATATTTTATGTTTTTATTTTAAATATTATTTAAGTTTTTATACTTAAGTTTTATTACCATATAATTTAAATATAAATATACTATGCATCATATAGTATATTATATAATTTAGATATTTTATTAGGTCTTTTGTAAGACCCTTGAATATTATCAGATTGTTATGTTTTTCTTTTAAATACGAGTTAAAACTACATTTTATTTCCCTCAGGGATAAAAATAATGTTGGAATTGAACAGAATTTGTGGGTTTTGTCGTTGTGTTAAGGATTTTTTTTTTACCTTCTGGGCCACCGTAGATACAGTATATTTCGTAACATATTTCCACAACATACATTTGAACGAAACACAGGAGTTTAAACAAATTATGCCACACGCCCCCAAGTGGCTGGTTCCAGTACATGTTTTAACCTCTTCATGTAAACAAATGGGACATTTTTCTGACTAAAATGTAGAAGTTCAGCTCGGATATTGATTGTTTAATGTTTTTGTCTGTTGCTTCTCACATGTTTAAATGATTTTGATGCTTTAAAACATCATAGTTGTGTTTGAGGTGAGTGGGTGTGGCTTTCAGTCGTTGGGCTCTACCTGTAAATGGAAAATTTAGGCTTTACTTTAAAAAATGTAAGAAAGTAGAGACACAGTTTTTAGATGAACCCAAACTTTTGTTTTTATTTATAAATCTGAAGAAAAGCTTCTTTAAATTTCAAATGAGTTTATTTTTTATTACTGCATTGCGTTGCATTCACTGACCAAAGTTTTCAGACTTGATTTGTGTTTAGAATTGTTTTAAAGACAGAATCATGAATTTTGAAATCTTATTTAGCTTTTTCTGAAAGAAAATGTTTGGGTTTTAACAAAATTTTCATTGAAGATATTCTTGATAAATAAGTCCAGCTTTATTTTGAAGGATTGCACAGTTTCCCCTACTACTTCATCTTTTCTCACATGGATCAGATTCAGTGTCACTGACCTGATAACACTGATCGTATTTAACTGGGAAATGTTTCTGCTATCAGACGGTTTATAGTTTTGATTTTTTTTTTCCAATCAAATTTTAGTTAGAATCCTAGAAAATCCTCAACAGGAAATGCAGAACCTGATTTGTCAGCATGAGTTTTGTGGAGATGGATAATTAATAAATAACTTCGGGACGCAGCAGAAACGGAAAGATACAAGACGAGAGATGTGCAACAAAATAAATTGTGAAGGATTCCTGTTGTTTTAGCTCTGGAGGATGATCTGGGCTGTTTCTGCTGCAGCTGTTTCACGTTGCTCGCCCATAGTGAGCTGCAGCCGTTTTAGAAACCCTGATTCAGTCTCTAAGTCTCTGTTTCTTTTATGTTGTTCAAACCAAACCTTCTGTCCAGCACAAATCTGAATTTTTATCGTTGTGCAACAAAAGGGCGGATGAGCTCAACACTGTTAAAAATCCAACTTGCAATTTATTTGGAGAGTTTAAAGTTTTAAGCCAGTTGAACGTTTTAACTTGCAAAATGTTAATTTAATACAGAAAAGCAAGCACCTAAAAAGTTGACTGAACTTAAAATTGTATTGCAACTGGTTGCTTTACTTTTTTAAGTTCACTGGACTTTTTTTTTTTTTTTTTTTTTACAGTGAAGCTACTGTGGACATCTGACATTTGACCTCTGGGTCATGTGACTGACCATTTCTCACACCAACAGCAGATTTCTGATATCATTGTGTTTGACATCATTTTGATATTGTCTGATTCCTCAATAAAATTTTATAACGCCTCTTCCTATGTTATTGAAGTGACTGGGCTGTATGGATGCAAACCACACACACACACACACACACACACACACACACACACACACACACACACACACACACCTTCAGTAACACAGCTTGATAGCTTTATGGCTCGTAACAACTTAAATCTGGAATATTTTCAGCTCTTAATTAAATATTTGAAACAAAAGAAAATCTAATTAAGTGTTTTGTTCTCACTTTTTGTTAGGATAAAAGTCCAAGGGATGCTCGTGTTTTTGCACCAGGAAAATTCCCCGTAGTTCAGTAACAGCACGTTTATTCTGAAAAAGATTAAAGGTGATGAAGTGAGCGGAATGTTTTCACACAGGACAGAGTACACTTAGTGCAGACCTCTCTCTTCTTCCAGTCCGGTGGTTCTCTTCGCCAGCGAACCGTTAATTCACGACTGACGGTCTCAGTTCACGTTTAAACGCTGCATATAGTAGCAGAGGTCACACGGTAAACGTTGATATTTCATCTTTACTGAAAGCGTCCAACTGCATCGCTGTTTTCAACAGGAGTCGCTTTTAACGTAAGTAGAGTGACCTTTCATCTTTCTCCCGACAGAAACTTTAAAATCTGTGTAACCGCTCGTGTTTTAGTGATTAGCCTGAGGGGCAACATTATTGATTTGTCGTTCATTGTTTAGAATTTAAAAAAGACATTTGAGCCCAAGGAGTCGAGAAGGATGTGAACGTGTTTTCATCGGGGTCTTTTCTATTGCCGTACCTAGGACTTTGTAGTTCGCTATCGTACGGAAATAACGGAAGTGTAAGCTAAGGAGCGGCGAGAAGGACTACAACTACCAGCACGGTGTTTGATAAATAGTCCGCTCTAGTATATCGCCTTTCAGAGTCAGGACTCCAAAGCGCTTTATACTACAGTGTATCATTCATTCATTCACACACGCACATTCACACTCTGGTGGTGATGAGCTATGATGTAGCCGCACAGCTGTCCTGGGGCGCGCTGACAGAGGCGGAAGCACACATCAGAAGGCAGACCCGTGAGACAGTTGAGTACCATTTGAAAAACCCGAATTGTCGTAATAGCACAACCAGAGTTTAACCTCTGAAAAGAATTGGCAGAACATTTATTTTTAAATTAAGATAAAATAAAGTTTGTTAACATATCTGAACGTTCTTGTGTGCATCTGCTCAATATACAAAGGGAAATTGGGGTAAAAAGTGGTCTCACTCAAGATTTTTCTATAATTTGTTTTTAAAAACAGTTAATATTATGATAAAATTCTGTAAATATTGAGCACTGTTTTATGAATTCCCTGTTTTTACCAAAATACCGCGAGTAAAGAAGTGTAATGTGAATTTTAACGTTAGCGTAAAAAAACAGACTTCTTTGTAGTATGTGAATGCAGCACCCTAAACCGCGCTTGAATTTGACGTCATCTTTAAAGGACTGGGACCATATGTTCTTGGATTTTGTTTAGGAGATGAAAGCATTCATCTGTGTGATCTATGAAAATGCAGTTAAACTCGAACATGAATTATGACGGTTCTATCGACGAAGAGCGGTGAGTTAGTACTAGCTAGCATTAGCTAGCGTTAGCTAGCTAGTCGGAGTTCACTGAAAGTTTCCGTTTCTGCACACATGTTGTCGCAGCAGTTGTTTACGTCTCAGCTTCCCAGCAGAAACACATTTATCTCACTAAAGATTTTTCTATAATTTGCTTTTGTTTTTAAAAATAGTTTATTAATATTATGGTAAAATTTGTAAATATTGAGTACTGTTCTATAAATTCCCTGTTTTACTAAAATACCGCGAGTAAAGAAGTGTAATGTGAATTTTAACGTTAGCGTTAAAAAAGAGTTTTGTTTAGTAGATGAAAGCATTAATCTGTGTGACATATCTAAGTGCAGTTAAACTCAAACATGAATTATAACGGTTCTGTCGACGAAGAGCGGTGAGTTGGCACTAGCTAGCATTTGCTAGCTAGTCGGAGTTCACTGAAAGTTTCCGTTTCTGCTCAAACAGTTTGTCTCAGCAGTCGTTTACGTCTCAACTTCCCAGCAGAAACACATTTATATCTGTTTTAATCTAAACTGTGTTTCAATGTGATGGTTTCAGTAAAAGTGTTACACAAATCAAAGGCTCTCTAAAATCTAGAGAAGAAAAATAAACTTTTAGTCTCTTCTTCTACGTTATCCATGAATAATTGTCTTCAGCCAAGAATAATTTGTCTTTAAAAAATTTTTTAAAACTAGTTTATTTTCGTATTTCTTTATGTGACTATATGTTTTGTTGTTTCTGGTTAAATGTTGAGACGTAATTTCCCTGACAGGGATAAACTGAGGTTTGTGTTGCTAAATAATTACTTTATAATCTGACATTTGTTGTAAACATCTATACCATTGTTATGACGTCACACAGCACAGCTGAATGGTGCTTTTTGCCTTGAGGAGAGAATAAAACAGCTTTAGAAATAAAAGATGAAACCACATTTGATTGAAATATATAGTTTACTTGTACTCGGGTGTTTCCTCTCTCTCCCCAGCTCGCCCATGTTCCTTCGCTGGCTGAACTCCTTCAGACCCTCTTTCCGTCCTCGAGGCCAGTCAGCGCTTCGTTGGCCCCACACCAGGAGCAGCACTGCCTTTTCCTCCTGCAACCTCCCACAGTTCATCCCTGCTCCTCAACCATGGTGGTCTGTACAGAGGTTTCCACCCTGCCCCCCTCGACTCCCCCGCCCCCACCCATTTGCCCATCAGGTCGGCTGTAGCAGGACTTTAGGCCCTTTTAACCTGAGGGCTGCTAGTTTTAGTTCATTTCACACCACTGCAGCTCAAATGATGGAGCATCCTGACCAAGAGCCCCCAAATAAACGGAGGAAAAATGGAGGACATGAAGGAGGAGCAGCACCCAGAGAAAAAAGAAGCAAGCCGAAGAAGGGAGTTTCCAAGAGGGAGCAGCATCAGCTGGAGCTGGGAAAGGACAGCAGCGTCCGAACGAAGGTCTGTTTTAAAGTCGGGAGTCAGGGAGCAAAGAACAAAAATGCAAACACTTTCAGCAAAAAGAAGGATGTAAAGAGGGCTAGAAATAAGAATAAAAACAAAAAAAGAAAAAGCAGCAGATACAGGAATCTAATCCCCAAATCCGGACCAGAGCGGGACCCAGTTTCAGAACCGAAACCGACGACAGCAGAGGAGGGAGGCCTTGAGAGGAAAAACACTGGACCGAACGAGCAGCCGAAGCAGGCAGGTGGGATGTTGGAACGTTCCCAATCCAACGCCCCAAACCAGAGGCAGACAGGCCAAGCCACTCCCAGAATCCCGCGGGCCCCTGAACGTGAGTCAGAATGATTTTATTAAGGATCTTTAAGGATTATTTTTGTGAAATGATGACGTTACATAGACAGAAGTTTTCTGTTTATACATTTCTCTGCTGTAGACATTATTTTGACCCTAGCTCGTTGGTTTAGGACCGTTCTTATTTGGTTTGAAGTCTGAAAACGTTTTAGTTTGTAACAGAAAGAATCAGAGACATCAGCTCTGTGGCTCAGAGGCTTGTAAATCACCTCCTGTTTGTTTAAAAGTTAAAACTTTCATATTCTCCTTATGAATCCGCAGCAGCAGCTCTTCAGAGGCGATGGGAGACCTGCAGTACTCTGCCACATCCACCAGGGGGCAGCACAGCGTTTGACTTCTCAGTGATGTCCTACAACGTCCTGTCTCAGGAGCTGCTGCACGAGAATTCCTACTTGTACCAGCACTGCCACCCCTGCTTCCTGCCCTGGGAATACCGGCTTCCCAACCTGCTGGCCGAGATCCGGCATCATGACGCTGATGTGAGTGAAGCTCGAGGTTCTGATGCAGCCTGTTACTGACCGCCATGATGGACAGAATCCCAGCATGTTTACAATATCGGTTAAAACCAGAGAAACATCCAACAGATCCGGTGTCGTCCTGCTGATTAACTTTACATCAGCTGTTCAGCAGCAGACGTGGAACAAGCGTCCAATTCTGACCGTTTAAAGATTTTCTGTTTAT